GATTATACCTCTTATTCCTATCCGCTCTCGACGATACGATAGCAATCTCACAGTAAGGGAGAGAGAGAGAGAGAGAGAGAAAGGGAGAGAGGAGAGAAATACTCACCCTTAGGCCCCTCGCGGTGCTGCCTCCGTCCGTCGTCTCTACATCGTCGTTGGGAAACGACGGGGATCCCTCGCTAATCCCCGCGATCCTTTTCAGCCTCGCTATATCGATAGAAGTCGAAGTCGTTCCTCGACCTTCCTCGTCCCCGACGCGACTAATGAATCCCGTTTACGCTAAACTCGATGACTAAAGTGCCGGCTGTAATTAAAACGAGGCGACACGGGCGGAATTTTTGAGTGGACCGGGGAAAAGTGACTTTCCCCGAGAAAATATTCATTGCTCCCCGCCAAGTTAATCGTTATCCTTGAACGATACTACGCGTTACTCTCTTTCTCTCTCTCTCTCTCTCTCTCTCTCTCTCTCTCTCTCTCTCTCGCACACACAATAATTTGAGCAATTTTTCCCGAGGTAGGTCGTCGATAAAAATATCTAATTGCGTCTGCAAGATATACGAGGGCAGTCTGAAAAGTTCTCGGCCTAACAATGAAAGAAAATTTTTTTTGCCGTGAAATATGTTTTATTTTTCAATATAATCTCCTGAAACTTCAATACATTTATTCCAACGTCTTTCCAATAATTCAATACCATCATTAAAGTGTGATTCCGGAAGGTTCTTTTCGCTCTGGTGTATAGTGGTGGATCCAAGTTTCATCAACAGTTATGAAACGACGCTTGAAATCCATTTTATTTTGCTTAAAACGATTAAAATGTGCCAAACACGCTTGAGAAATACGCATTCGAAGGCGTTTTTGGTCAATCGTTAGCAAATGCGGCACCCATCTTGCACAAAGCTTTTTCAACTGGTGCTACTACTCGAATGACTTGACAGATCGAATAAAATTTTACATGGGTTCGTATCAGGGATGCCACTTTCCAATACAATTATAGTTTGACAGTTTCTAATGCCATGTATGTGTCAGGTCGAGAACTTTTCATACTGCCTACGTATTAGTTCCAGACGCAATTAAGGGCGTTAGTAGTCAGGCAAACGCTGAGATCATTCTCGGCTCGTCGCGCTCCGCGACTATTCCTACAACGCGCTGTCCCTGATCCTTCTCGAATCTGTCCCTTCCCGCCCCCCTCGCGCCATTTTTACGACATCTGGATGGCCGTTGCTAACGCATCACGGTCGGCCATTGTCGCCGACTGGCTTTTCTAGTTGGGTTAAAAACGATAATCGCGATGCCGAGGGGTGCGAGGTGTCACACCGAAACGAGGTGGAGCCCTCGATCTGTTCTCTTCTGCCTCGTCGTGCGTCGCGCGCACCTATAGCGTCACAGCCGAGGGGAGAGCACACGATGTGTGCTCCTCTCTCTCCCTCGTCTCTCTTCCCCCCTGTCTTCCATGTCGAGGCGGTAGGAACACGCTAATAAAAATGCGCGAAAAAAAGGGCGGCCGCGGTCGGCATTACGCGTTATTAGTCGGGCCTCCCCTAATAATAATGGCCGTCGGACTTTCCGCGTCGACGTTGACTCTTATTCGGCCGAGTGAACATCGCGCGACGCACGTAACATCTGTATCATCGCTGCCATTCTGTGCGCCATTCGACGCGCAGTGCATCTGGTGCCTGTGAAGACCCTGGAAGACCCCGAAGCTTCCCTTCCCCTCCAGACCAGCGTCGCGTCCCTCCTCGCCTCGTGCATTTGGCTTCGGCGTCCGTAAAATGTCGCTTATAGGCTGGACTACGCGCCAATCTCGTCATCATCGAGATCGAGGCGGACTCGTGGAGAAACGACGCGGTGGGAGCCTGCGATCGTCTCCGTCGCAAGCCGTGAAGCTGACTTGGAGACTCGAAAAATACGCCGAGTTATCGAAAACGAGCGCGCGCTGTGTCAAGATAGATTTTAACACGCACCGTCTTGCAGAGCGTCCGGAGAAAAACGTCTCGTCTAGGATACTCGGAGATTTTTCTCTCAGACGATTTCTCCTTCAGACGCTGACAATGGCCGCGCGCTGCAACGACCGCGGCTACCCTTCTCGAGAGTAATTACACGGAACGCGGAAATAATAAACCGCTAATTCCTTCACCTCGAACGCACTCCAAGTATAATTTAAGTACAAGCACGAGCGCAGCAAGGAGGAAAGAAGAGGGTGCAGGGTGGACAAACGCGCTCACGCGTGCCTCGATCGCCGAGCGCGCGGCGTCGAGAGTGCCCGAACACTCCTCTTCCTCCTCCTCTCCTCCTCCAGCTCTTTCTCCTCCTGGTCGCACACGAGCCCGCGAAAATGTTCCGTCCCGGAGGGAACGGGCCGCGTGTTAATCGCACCTCGGCGACGCTCGAAGCTCCGCGAGTTGGCGGCCACTTTGCGCTTGCCACTTTTGCGCTCGTCGCGCGCCGTTGCGTTATTCGGCCGCTCGCTTCGAGAGGGGCCGAAGGGAGGCGAGGAACTAGGCTCTCTTGGTCTCCTCTCCTCGTGATTCTCTCCTCCACGGCGACAAATGGTAGTGCGTGCGTGGCACGCACGAGTGGCCCGCTCGCACCGTTTAACGTCGCGATTCACCGGGTAAGTGTATCATTGTTTCCTGCGACCATCGAGAGCGAGCCTGATTGACGCACGCATTTGACCTCGCTACACTCAGCATCGCGGTCACGAGGGGGTTGGTAGACCCGAAGCCTGAAGGTCCTCCCTTGCCGCGTGTTTTTCTTTTCATTCTTTCGCTCTTTCTTCTTTTTTAACTTGTCGTTCGAGTGACTCTCGTGGAGTCAGGAGGGCACGGGGGTAACAGAAACTTTCGAGGGAAGAAGAGGGAGAGAGAGAGAGAGAGAGAGAGAGAGAGAATTTTCAGCGATCCTTCTTCCTCTCGCGCTCCGCTCGAATCGTTTCCCCCATCTGGGATCCTTTGTTTCTCCCTGTGCTCTTGTTATTCTTGCTGGCTGGCTCTCTCTCTCTCTCTCTCTCTCTCTCTCTCGACGATCCTTCCGAGCCGATCGCGCAACGATTGAAAGTAAACTACCGATACCGCCCGCCACAATGCGACCTCGCAATAGCGCGGTATTGTCGCGACCGCACGAGTGTGTTCGCGAACAATATCGCCCGCTCTCTCTCTCTCTCTCTCTCTCTCTCTCTCCGTCCCTCGTCTATCGTCTATCGCGGTCTTTAAAGCGTTTAGCTAAGTGCACCACCAAGTCCATTATCGGCATTAACGGAGACTCCCTCCCCTCACTACGGATCGACTCTGCGAGCGTGCGCGCGACTTCTCGCGAATTTTACTCGGAAAGACTCGCGATGCATTTTGATTTTCGCGATCTTTGCGATTTCAGGCGAAGAGGGAGAATCACGGTAACCTGACGTACGCTATCTTCCGAGAGAGCTGCGACGTACTCTCGATGGGGGCCGAAGTAAATTAATAATTTGACTCTCTCTCTCTCTCTCTCTCTCTCTCTCTCTCTCTCTCTCATATATCGTGTACGTTTGCTTCAAGAATACAAAAATCATCGCCAACTTGGCAAATATTTTTATATCATATTACAGCAAATACCGATAAAAGTACTCGCTGTATCTCCTTTCAATTCGCGAAGCGTAGCTATTTTCGTCTTACCGCGTCTTATCAAGACCGTCTCATCTTCGCGTCTCGGCGTCTCGAGTCACGTTTTCGCGCTGAAACCCGACTCGATCGCGCGTCGATGATCTCGCGTGCGAGAAAAGTGTCGCGGGAAATACCGAATGCACGCGACGACGCCGGTAGATTAAACCTCGAGCGTAGTTCCGCCATCATGCTCGAGCGCGCGGCAGCCCCCGGTTGGCGGATAATTCGTTGAAGGAAGATGCGAATGATCTGGTTGGGGGCCAGAAACGCGAGGGGTCCGAGGAGATGAGAAGCTGCCTGGAAGGCGCGGATTCCCCTCCACGAGCAAAATGATCCCGCGTTTAGCTCCTGCCTTCCGAACGTTCTTTAGTACGAAGATGAGAGAAAGAGAGAGAGACTCGGGAGGGTCCTCTCTCCACCCCTCGCTCTTTCGTTCTTTGTCTTCTCTTGCCCTCTGTCTCCGTCCGCCTGTTCATCCATCGCGTCTAGGTCGTGTAGACAGATTTGACGCTGTGACATTCTCGGCATCTTCGACATTTAGAGCTAGGCTTCATTAAAGGATACAAGCAGGTATCCGGGCGATTTGTTGTTGCCATTACCGGAGGGGTTTGGGAACGATAATTCACACAACAGCCCGTCGAGCGGCTGGAAAACGTCGCGAGTTGTCAATCAAATTGATCGCCTTCGGCAATTCACGTTGACCGAGTATGAGGATTCCTCGGCCAACTTGCGAATTAATCGACTAATTAGCAGTTTAGCGGACGATATCGAGGCGTTATCGGTGAGTCGGTATATCGCCGGCTGTAGTTTCAGGGATCCATCGTTTAATTTACGATGAAGGGAACAACCTCTGCCGGCAACTTGACACTCACCATTGTCGCCACCGCGAGTAATTGTTTAACGCTCGAGGGAAAGTAGCGTCGTCGCTGAACGACGCAAAGATTTTTATTCGGCAGTTTCACCCTTCCAACTTGGCGTCGTCATCGTCTCCTTCTTCGTCGTGAGTTCGCCGGCAAGTTTCTCTCCCCTCGAACGCCCGTGTACGCTCTCGCGCTGAGCTCCGCATCGGCGTTAAATTCGCGCGAGCGAAGAGCATCGCGTCGAGAAACGACGAAAGAGGCGGCGGCGGCGGCGAGGGCGCGACTCGGCCGTGATAGTAAAGACGGGAGCATCCAGCAACCGCGGCAAGGAGAACCCGAACTTGCTCCCCGAGTTCTCCGGAAGTGCGGGAGCAAGAGGGGCCGAGGGGGATAAGGCGGTTTTAATTACCGCTTAAGACACCCTCGTAGCGTTAACCCCGCGTAGATACTGACGGAGAGGACCGCCGCTGCCACCCCCTCCGCCCTCTAAAGATATCGTTTGCAGTGCACGGTTACGAAGGAGCAATTCGGGGGTGGATAAGGAAGGCGCGCGGAAGAGAGGATCCCAGGGCGCAGGGGGCGCAGGGGGGGGAGAGAAGAGGCACGGAGAGAACTTGTACGCCAACGTCGCACTCGATTCTCGAGCGCGCGGGTAAGTTTGAGGCAGCCAACCAAACCTGCCGAGTCGTGAGAACTTTGCCGCTACCAGCGTGGCCGTCTGCCAGCCAGCTTCCTCGAGGGCGAATCCTCAGGGGGGATGGAGGAAGGGGCGGGAGGGAGGGGCTGGAGATGTATCCCGAATTTTGTCGCTTACACGACGATTATTACGGGCGTTTTCGTTGTACCTGGCTTCCGCCCGCGCCGGCAAGCGCGCTCCCCGCGAGATCCGGCGGTTCCAATCGGAGGGTTACAATCGCTGCAGCTACATCGGTATCGATGTACTTCTGACCGTACACGTGTCAATTTGTCGCGTCCGGCCGACGACGAGCGGCAAGAGCTGCGCTCGCGCCTATATCGCGTGCCGCGCTAACCAGAATATCGCCAGAGTTCATACGTGGAGTTCATTATTTCTCGCAGCTGCCGAGATCTTCCAAGATCGCGCGTTTCTCTCGCGCGTCTCGCGAAGCAGCGGCGTGTCTCAGCGCCGTCCGTATTATTTTCAGTCAAACAGAATCACGCACGAGACCGTCTTCCTCGAGATACCGTTCGCCGCGTCGCCACCGCCTGCGACCTGCGACTCTGGAGATCGTGCGCAGAGCGTAGAATTACGTAAAATACATGAAATCGAGCCGATGACGGCGACATGCCACGTGTCGCCAGACACCGAGCTCGAGCTTCCCCCCGGCGCGCGGCGGGGAGAGAGGTGGTCGTCGCGGAATGACAGTGGCGTATCTCGTGAGGGGGTGGCCGGCGACTGGCGTCGGGACGCCCGCCGTCTTATCGGGCACCCCCTTGCCTCTGGCCCGCTTCTCCCGCTCGTCTCTCTCTCCACCGTCGTTCTCTCCTCTCTCTACCTTGCGCCTCCGTCCCCTCGTCGCGCGCCTCGTCGTCGAAGCAAACCCGGTGACGCCTCGACGCGCTCACCCAGAAACCGACGATAAGGTTCACCCGCCGACGCCTGCCTATACCGTTACCGTTCGTCGCCCACATACGCACATGTACATACAAAGGGGGAGAGAGAGAGAGAGAGAGAGAGAGAGAGAGAGAGACATACACCCGTGCGCGCACGTATACGAGGAACGCGTGTAGAAATTGATATAAGAAAGCCGGGGTGAGCGCACCCGCGAAACCCCAAATCGAGCGTCGCGTTATCGCGCCCGCTGATATCGATAACGCGCCGCCGATTTCTCCTCGTCGTCGCGTCGAAGTCGTCGGCAGCACCCTCGAGCGGCGTCGACGCTCTTCGTGATCGCGCGTTAATAACGCGCGCGCACTTCCGCCGCCGGGGATGATGACCGTTTGAAAGAGGCGAGAGAAAAACCTAGGGGGCCGCAAACTCGCGTTTGTCAATCGAACAACTTGTTCGATCATGTCGGCCGCAAGTGGGAACGACGGCCACTTGAACGTCGCGAAGTGAGACCCAGCTCGGAGAGACGCGCCTTCTCCGCGGTTGGGGGTTGACGCGAGAGCGCGGCGGGTGCACGCTATCGCGTCTAGTAATAGTCGCTCGCGCGAAAGACGTTGATAATGGTGTACTGTGCGTTTTATTGTTGCAGTAACCGAGCTGGAGGGTGGCGCGCACTCGGACGAGACGAACAGCGGGGGTGACAACAGCAACGCCGGCAGCGTGTCGGGCGGCGCCGACGACGACCAGGCGCGCCTACGTCTCAAGAGGAAGCTGCAGAGGAACCGCACGAGCTTCAGCAACGAGCAGATCGACGCGCTGGAGAAGGAGTTCGAGAGGACGCACTACCCGGACGTGTTCGCCAGGGAGAGACTCGCCGGCAAGATCGGCCTACCCGAGGCGCGAATACAGGTGACTATTCGGTAGTGTGCGAGAGCGAGTCGTTGCGTGTCGATCCCTCGACCAAGGATCGAGCGGATCCGCGGGATCGATCGCGTGGCGATCGAGACTGTCGAGTGAGCGCCGAGAATGACGCGATTTCTTACGCTTGTTGAGACGCAGTCAGCCGCAAAGTAATGAACAAACGGCCAATGTCCAACGGCCTGAGTCACGCTGAACGTCACTGAGAACGAATGAAACGAACGATTATGAACATCGTCGACATCGGAAGATCATCGTCACTCTGATCCACAAGAGGATCTCGATCGTCTCGCTCGATCCGAAATTCACGACTTTCTCGAACGCTGACTCGATGTTGTAGTCGCGGTTGCAGAGAGACAATGGTTGGCAGCTTTTGAATGAAAACGGTGTTTCTCATCTCTCGCCTCCTTTGCAATCGACAACTCTCGCGGTTGCGGCAGTTGTCTCGTCGCAGCTTTTATCATTTTCACCAAATGACATCGCCGCGTGCATCCGTTCTTATCTCATCGACTTATTCCCTTCATCACGAAAACCCGGCCGTAGAAAATCACGGAGATCGACAAAGCTCGATTCGATATGATGAACTCGCGCGGATAAATCGGCGCTAGAACGAGTTCTCCGCCGCGTGCACGAAGCAACCGTTGCAGCCGACACGAAAGTTCCGTAGCCTAGCGATTGACCTGTATCTTCGTCTGTCTTCTCGTTCACTAACTCAGGTCTGGTTTTCGAATCGGCGGGCGAAGTGGCGACGCGAGGAGAAATTGCGCACGCAACGGAGGGACAATCCGCAGCAGCAGCAACAGCAACAGCAGCAGCAGCAACAGCAGCAGCAACAGCAACAGCAACACACTGCCGGCGTGAGTCTGGTGGCCGCTGGTCACCCGACGCCGCCGCCGCCTTCGGGGATACTTGGTGGCCAGCCGCCACCGCAGGCACCACCATCGCCGCCGAGGATACATCACGGATTCGCGCCCACTGCCGTCTACCCGGGCATACCCAGCATGCCTGACTCGTACAGGTGAGAGCGAGGAGAGCATCGGCAACCCGCTGCGAGAGGTCGGTGCGACCATCGAATCTGACCGTAAAGCGGTACTCGCGTCGTACACATGAAAGTCGATAACGCATAGATCTCAGGCTACTGATCACAAATTTTCGTTCTCTATAAAATCCAACGGATGAAACTCTGCTGCGACTTTAGCAGGTTATTCGGTTTTCCGAATGAAAATATGCTCGTCGTGAGAAGTAAAGTTTCCAGAAACGAGCGTCTCTTCTCGCGATATCGAATGGAACGGACGATCGAAGTAGTGAATGCTAGCGGATGTTAAATTAAGAAAGATCACGACTCTATACAGTCCTTTACGTTGCAGCCCGATGACGTCGATGCCAAGCTTCACGATGTCGGGCGCCAGTCAACAGAACCAGCACACTACCAGCAGCATGTCCTCGCTGTCGGCTGGCGGCGGCATGAGCCCGATGGGCATGACCGTCGGCATGACCGTCGGGCCCAGTCCAGGCGCGTGTCTTCAGCAACGGGACAACGGCTACTCGTGCGGGGTCGCGAGACCACCAAGTTACGAGCCCCTGCACCTCGGCTACGGCGCCAGGCCGACTTGCAGCCCGACGCAGCCTTACCACGCGGCGGGTCTCAATCAGTACAATCAGAACGCCAGCTCGACCGGTGAGTGTCTACCGCACTCACTGCATTCGCTGCTTGCACTCTAGCCGATGGACTACTACTACGGCTACCATGGATAACACGCTATCGAGCTCGCCGGTAATGGATTACATACGCTTCTGCCTCCACCTTCTTTCATCCTCCTTGCGAGTCGAACGGACACCCTTCGCGCGCGTGCAATTCGTGATCGCGGGGACTCGTGGTCTCTTCTCGTGGATATCAATGAACTGGGTCTCGCGGTGTTGGCGAATTATAAGCTGAGTGAGTTGTTCGTATTCGTGGAGGGTCCGTCGAGAGATCAGTAGCAGACCGTCGAAATGCTCGGTAAATCGATGCGCAATTTTCGGCTAATTTGCAAGCGCGAATATGTATGTATAGTCTCGTTAATATTTCACCTAGTCCTCTGGGTTTATATCGCTCCCTTCATTCCTTTGAACGGCGCTGAACCGATGAAATACGTTTACGATAGAAATAAGTTGAGGTTTTAGTGCGAACGAGTCGCGAGCGCTGTCGCTGTTCTAGTACGAAATAACGTCTCCGCGCGTTAAGAAGTCTAATTGACGCGGAATTAAATGTCATCGAGAGGATACGCGGGCATGATGGAGTCGCGTGCGAAGTGTTGTGCGTTCATATTTAGTCGGCCTTGCTTCCCCGATCTCGAGCTCGTGGAATTGCCTGAATTAAAATGTCACGAATTCTCTTCTAGGTCTGATATCACCCGGCGTGAGTGTGCCGATCGCAGTACCAGGTCAACCGGCACCCGACATGGCCGCGCAATATTGGTCGCCGAGGCTGCAGTGACCGTGGTGGTCGTCGACGTCGACCTCGTCTCCGTAGACTTGAGCTTCTTCGTCTGCTTCCCATTCTCTGCGGTTTGCGCGCAAGCGAGCGAGCGATCGAATGAGAATAGCGTGATCTCGAAATCTCGAGATTTCCGCGCGTTGCAATCGTCCGTCAATCGAGGCGGACTGCCGTGTCATTCCCGTTACTATTTTTAGGTTTCCGGTTTACCGGAACTTCGCACGGAAATGAGTTTGGTTTGTTCGTCTGTACGCATTTATCACTTTCGTTTTTTGCGAGGCGAGTGCGTCGAGCCAGAAGGTTAACTTTGTCGAACGAGTACATCATACTAGATTACAGGCGGAGATTAATCGATTTCCGTGTATAGCCGCGAATTTTACAACCGTCAAATTTAATCACCGTGTTCTGATACTGGGAATTAGCGTCCTCACGCTTGCAATTAATATCCTCCTCGATCGCGTCTTTTAGTTATTGTCGGATTTCCGTTATTCACCGTTTCGCTTTCGCCAGTACGTCGGCATCACGATGCACAACCAGATGCTTCCCGTCTTCATTTCGACGCTGCACCGAGATTCGAATAATATGCAGAAATAGTGAGACATCATACTACTTGTTAATACGAGTCAATCAACTCGTGTTCTTCATATGACACGTTGACACGGCTATGATCGGCATGATGTCATGTACAAAATGTCGTCCGCGTGTCGGCGCCTCTGCAATCGCAAATTCATTTTCATTCGTAGCATCATTTTTCTGGCCGTGATATTTTTCAAATAAAATCGAGGTTGATACATGTGTTTAGGAAAAAAAGGAGAGAATGAAAGAGAGAGAGAGAGAGAGAGAGAGAGAGAGAGAGAGAGAGAGAGAGACAGAGAAAATTGAGAGATAAAAAGAAAGAAATATGAATCGTCGGCAATGTGCAACTCATGTAAAAAATAAATTAGCGTGGAAAATCAATGGGAAAGAATCGTGCTCCTGAGAATTTTCGCGAAATTTTTCTTCGCAACGGTTCGTAGATATAACTTCTGTAGAAAAGTCGAAGAGAGCGAAAGAGAAAGAACGAGAGAGAGAGAGAGAGAGAGAGAGAAAGAGAGAGAGAGAGAGAGAGAGAGAGAGAGAGAGAGAGAGAGAGAGAGAGAGAGAGAGAGAGAGAGAGAGAGAGAGAGAGAGAGAGAGAGTATGTGTGTGTGTATGTGTGAAAGAAAGAGAGAAAGAAAGAAAGGAAAAAATAATTTCTAAGTCGGTATTACGTTATTATTTATACTCGTGTAACGAACGGAGCCAGGAGATAATAAACGTGAGTTTGTTGTGTGTATATCGTAAGAATATCGACGGTCATTTATATATATATATATAAATATATATAAATATATACATAGTTGATTCTAATTCTCTAAGTAACTGAAAAAAAATCAATTTGTTCTAATTTATATCCGGTGCAAGGTCGAAAAAGAAAGTGTGAGACAGAAAGAGAGATAAAGATGGCGGGAGAGAGAAAGAGAGGGAGAGAGAGAAAGAGTGAGAGTGAGAGTGAGAGAAAGACAGAGAACGAGAGAGTGAAAAATAAAAGATAAATGACCGAAAACGCCGATTGTGATTTCCCTTAGGCCAGGTATGTTAAGCGTACGATTATGCATTCTAAATAAATAGTGTGTGCATTTAAACAAGAGTTCTCTTAATATCTATTTTCTATTTGAAACTTCGTTTACATGATTTTAATAGTGTTCACTTTCATAACGTTTTTTTAATAACGTAACAAATATATATAAAAGTAAATTAGCAAAATTTTTTCAATGAGAAGAAATAAACAGAATTCAATAGCCTATAATTTTGACTGTAATAATGTGAAAAATGATGATTCAAGAAGTATTTTATAGTTTGGAATTCTTAATTTCCAAACATATTTTTATGTATAAATATTATTTATTTTTCACGAAATTATAGGAATAAAAATAAAGATCTGCTAAAATCTGTAAAAATTTATGAAATTTGTCGGGTTGCATTGTGTAAACAAAAACGATATACAAATATTACTTAAATAAAAGCAGATTTTTTTCTTTAATTTGCATATCTACAGAATACAGTGTGATTCTTTTCCATGGAGCTATTCAATCGAAGCAGGAACCATCCACTCAGCTTTGATCGTTCATAAAAAGGAAACGATACGGTGCACAACATTCATTAACAAATAAATAGATAGCTAAAAGTTCTGTTTTTAAAGTGTGTCCAATTTTTTATAATATAAATCATTTTTTCATGTGAAGTATTAATCAGAAAACGATACTGAAGATTGAACAGTCGTTATTTTTAATTTAATTCAATGTTTCTTAGTAATAAACAATAGTAACGTTATGGATTTAATGTGACGCGAAAGTAGAGATTTACAACTAAAATATTTTTCAAACCATCTCGTTATAATTTTTACGGCCATAATTTTTACGGAATTTACAGCCTCTTTTTTATTTTTTTTGGTAACGCAGGGGAAATCCATCATGGATACCCCCAACCCTTTTGGGGGGTCGGGCGTTATGTCAGACTCCTACTGACTAAAACCCCTGCGGGATGTCTACCAACCGGACCGTGGTGGGGGGAGTCAGGGGAATTACTCCCGTATTCCCTCCCCGACGGAAGTTACAGCCTGTCGAATTTAACCTATGTTGAGTGTATAAAATCATGGTTGATCAGACTCTGAGTTATACTACTGGAGAAATAAAAAGACGTCTGACTTCATTGTTGAGTCGTATCACGACCTCGCTTCGAGCTTACGACAAGTGGCGGCTCGTAGCGGAGATTCTGGAACTAATTTATGTCGGGTTAAAAATTAGCGGGTCTAAATTATACTAGGATTTTTAGACCCGTTATTTTCAAGCTGTGGGCGTCGATAAAATATGGTTCGAATCTCGACTAAAAATATTAATTTTCACCCGAGACTCAAACCACACTTTACTTTATGGAGGTCGATAACTAACTAACCATCTATTGGAAAAATAATGGATTTCTTTTTACTACACCTGATATAACGCTAAAATGGTATTTCCGGTATTTCTGAAGATATTTTAAAACGGACAACGAGGTTCGATAGAGAATCGTTTATACCTGTTTGTACTACGTTGTGTTTTTCTGGTTTTGCATCCACTCCACATCTACATCCATATCGTTTTTTTTCGTCTTTTTGCGTTATTCATTGTTTTTCTGTATTTTTCTTCATTCTTCAAGGTTCTTCTGCGTTTTGTTGCGCTTTTCTGTGTTTCTCTATATTCGCATCCACATCCACATTACTCACATCCACATTAATGGATGTTCTTCTCTCTGCTACGACACTTCTCCAATCATTCGTTTCAGGGCGCGCTCATTCGTCAAATTCTGTAATTAATATCTTGACAATTATTGCGAATCTCGCAAAACGGTATGGGACTTTTATATTTGTTTTAACCCAATCTACCTTCACACTTCAGGTTGGCAGCTAGTTACCGGACACCCTGTATACAATATATATCGTATAAAATCTGTATACAATATATATCGTATAAAATCTTCATAATATTAATCATACACAATCTCAATTCTTTTTCTCTTTTGCATATGTTAACATGTTAATTTATGTTACAAATGTATAATAATGTGCGAGACTGTGCCTGTCAAGTACGCTATTATGGTTGTAACACGGATATAAACCGCCTGAAAGTGGATGTAGCACGGACTGCCACCACATGCAGATTTTATCGCCGAGACTTGAAAGTGGGTGTAACATCGTAGTTCCCCTGTCAAAATGGATGCAACTGGCGCTCTTTCCCAGTGCGGAAAGTCGGTGTCGCCGAAAACACTGTGTTGGCCGGTCTCAGGTTTCACTCTGCTCAACATAGACTAAATTCAACAGGCTATAACTTCCGTAAAAATTATGATAACGAGATGGTTTAAAAAATATTTTAAAGCTATAAATCTCTGCTTTCGAGTCATATTAAATGCATAACGTTACTATTGTTTATTACCAAGAAACATTGAATTAAATTAGAAATAGCGACCGTTCAATCTTCAATATCATCTTCCGATTAATATTTTATATAAAAAAAATGATTTATATTATAAAAGATCCGACACATATTTTAAAAACAAAACTTTCAGCTTTCTGTTTATTTGTTAATGATTGTTGTGCACCGTATCGTTTCCTATTTATAAACGATCAAAACTGAATGGACGGTTAAAATGGCTCAACTGAATATCTAATTTTAGCTGAAATTCAAACATAATTTAACTGCTTCCAAAAAATTTAGCCGATAATAAATCAGGTGTTTCTTGTAAATTTTTTAGTATTGTATTCGATAATACTTGTCAAATTAGGTAAAATAAAATTACTAGCGAATTTTTTCTCGCACTTAAAATGTTCCAAAATAATTGCTTTTCAGTTTTACAGCGGTATCTTTATTTCCAACCATTTCCAATGAAGGGTAAATTTGAGAATTGCGTCATTTTACGTCACTCAATGAGAACTGCACATCAAATGCAATTCTAAAAATTTACAAAAAATGTCTGATTTAGTTTCAGCTGAATTTTATACAATGGCTCAACAAGAAACAATCACAATGAAATCCATAGATATGCAAATTAAAAAAAGAGAGCCTTATATTTTACGGAATAAATAGAAATATAACCAGGATCAGTGTACGATATAAATGGGAGCAGTAAAGAAACCATTACTTTGAAAAAGTATAACAATCGTATATTTATCTTGACTTAATTTTCATTTGAGAAGAAAGACACTGTATATTTTATACGTTGAAACTAGAATCCTATTGCTGTTTGTCAGTGCGCGATTAATTTCGGGATATTTAATCTTATCTATCTACAACCGTAAAATAAGATATTGCAACAATTTGTTACTTCAATATCGATTGATTTATATTAACTAAATATATAAAAACTTACGAAAAGACATAATATTTCACGACAATAATGTGCATATACTTTTGTGGCGTATCTCCTACTTCTGTAAACTCAATTAAAATAACGTTCTGATATAAACGAAACAGCGTTCACAAGATTATTAGATTACTATTTCAAATTCTCTTCGTGTTACGAACGGTACATATCTATTCAATCCACGGAATTGACATCGAATAGTTATCTAATCACTTGCAACAAAACGCACGTCATTTTTTTTTATCGACTTATAATTTAGTGATCATATCTATCGGTATCTACAATATAAACGCAATAATTGTTATTTACATAAGACAGTGGGATAGTTGATTGCAATCGACGTTTAAATCTTCTGTGAATTGTACAGCGCAAGATTAAAAGAACCGTGTTATTTACGCAAAATCGCGTGAAGCTTAAAAGAATCGTGATATTTACAACATTATGTCATATTATACATTTCCTAGCATACGGACAATGTATAAAAGTTTGGCATCGAGTTAAGCGCACGAGAGTCTCGTTTCAGAAACTCACTGTGATTCTTAAAATGCGTACACTAATATGTAACATATATTATGTATATACTGAGCCATGATTTTCTTGAGCAATATCACGAGATTGAATTGATCCGAAACGTATGCGATAATACCTCTATCTATTTGCCTATTCTCGCGATATCTCGCGATATCTCGCGAAATGTAGCTACGTTTCCTTCGGTATATACATCCTAAAGCTGCAGATACGATACTTTCAATCAACCTCGCAACATTTCTCAGTTTCCTTCGTATAATTATAACGTCTCCATTCTTTCAATCGAGAACGCTTTCGCTTTCGAATCGCGCTATCTTACTGACAAATGGCGTATTCGAATGCCATGGATTTTGACTCACCCTGAGATCGATTAAACCCAAGTTCTCTCGAATATGCACCGGTGTATGCTTTATGATTGACTGATAGAGCCTTGTTACGCTATTAATCGACCCCGTGGAGTGAGTTAAAATCCAAGCTACTCGAGTACGTCATAACTTTTTAATGGCTACCTTAGGAAATATACAAGGTACGACGATAAAAATAATAAAAATAAAACATGTATAATCTCTTCCTTCGCTCGTTGAGCGAATGACGAGTTGCCGCACGACCTGGTATTCGCGTTTGTTCATTTACATCGCATAATAACGCCGTCGTACGGTCATCGCTCTCCTTCGGCATCCGTCACTATAATTTACTGTCGTTCAAAGGACTTTGCGATAGTGACTCCAGCCGCCCGCGCCATTTCGTCCCAGTGCGCGACTGTTGAAGGCTGCTATACACGAAGTTACCTGAGCGAGAAAATAAGATACGACACAGCGCAACATAAGCATCTTAACGCGACGAATATATAGCAACAAATATACGCCGTTAAATACCGCGGAAACATTGCGATGCTTATGTATAGCGGCCTTCAGCGAAAGAGTATCACAGAAGACGAACGTTCTACAATGCTTGCAACTCCTTCTCTTTCCCTCTTCGGCCCTCGTAACTTTTCTATCACTTTTCGATTTCTCTCTTTTCGTTCTTTCTCTCAAATGTGAGAGTACAAAGAGTTCTCACGTCGCATTGAGGCCAGAAACTAATCATCGATAGTACAATCTGTACTACACCTCCCTCTCCCTGACATATGCAACCTCCCTTCTACCTTGTACAATGTATCATCGTGATATGTCTACATAACGCTAGTTATGTACAGAATGCGTACAATTTATACTTGTCTACACGAGTAACTCATCTATGTCCTTAATTATATCCTCGGATGTCGCGTCTAGCCTGATGTACTCGTCAACCGGGCATTCCTCGTTCAGCTGCTTATTGTTGAACAGTTCGTTGTTCAGTTGCTCGTCGCTCAGCTGCTCGTCGCGACGTTCCGTCTCGTCGCCCTTCTTGTTCACCGTGTCAACACGCGGTTCAACCACCGTGCTTTGTTTCAAGGACCTTCGCAGTTTCACCGGAGCCGTGGATGGCTTGAAATCCGTCTCGCTGACCTTGCGTTTCCCCAACGGGGACGTGAGCGTCTGGCCCTGCTCAGTCGGCTTCTCCGCTGCTTCGGCCGGCATCGCGACCGTCGTGTCCTGCTCGCAGGAGGAGCTTGTCGGCATTTCCGTATTCTCTATATACTCCATGTTCTTCAATGTACGTTCCGTATCCTCCGTAGATCGAGACGAAGTCGAAACTTCAGCTTCGACGGCCAGTCTCTCCCTCTCTCGCCTCTCTCGAATCTCCGCGAGGGTCAGGATCTTGAAGTCCATGCTCTTCTCCGGCTGCTTGTCTTTGGCGTGCAAGCTCAGCAAGTGCTTCCTATTGTGCCAGTTAGGCTTGGTCGCGGGCGTATCCATCTTGTGTTCGTAAGCGTAATAAGCCGCACTCACCGCCTGGACCTCCTCCAGACGCTTTTGCTCGACACTGTCGCAGCAGCGTACAGCGGTCTTTTGCTTGATCGGCGAAAACATGGTCTCGTTGTCGGAATCTGAAAGAGAAAGACGTTAGGAACAGGGTAACAGGAGGTGCGAATTTCCTCGTTCTTTCATAAATAAGCGACGCTTCCCCCTCGGCGACACTCCGATGGTGCGTCATCGGTCAGGGTCGCCGGACGACTAGGTGTCTCGCCTCTCGCGTCATTCTCTCTCTCTACCCCATTTTTTTTCTAACAATTGTTACTACACTGCATTGTGTTGTACTCTCTCTCTTTTTTTATTTTCTTAATCGTACGATCGACTTTTCCCGGACCTCTCATCGAAATTGTCAGAGTTTGGGATCTATACCGCGCGTATTTACTCGGATCTCCCTCGCTATCGATCATGACCCGACCTTGAATACGTCTCAAAACGACAACTCGCGTCTCATCGCTTCAGCAACACGAGAGATCTTAATCGTCCGATATGAGAGAGCCGTTTGGACGAGCACGTGAGAAGCGTAAGAAGAAGATGATAGATCTGCAACTGCCATAACGTTGAAAACGATGCTAAAAGGGCATCGCGGATTCGATTCGAAATATAACAACTGAAATATATTTCGCTAAATACAGTAAAGCGACTCCGACTTCTGTTCTTTGGCAGAAGCGGTTTTCGCGGAAAAAAGAGAGAAAAAATGTTCTCGTTCTTAGAAAACCTCCGTCGATTAAATTGGAAAATTGCACGTGTTACGCGACACGAATAATTCGTCGGTATTATTCGTCATTATCGATGAAGGAGCGTGGATGAAATGATCGAACGAGGCTGCGTTCTTGCTGCGATCGTTGCTGCTGCCGTCGCTGTTGCTTGTTGCTGCTGCTGGAGAACGCTTCGAGATGCTCCGATATTCGCCGTTTGGCGTCGATCGAGAAACGGGTAGAAGAACGCAAGAAGCGCGGGCTTGCCTCCAAAACGGACATTTTATTTTTTCCATATCACACTTTATCCGCGCGTAAAATGAGACGGACGAGAAGTCCGACGGAATGCCGAGAGTGAGAAGAAAATTGCAGACAAGAGGAAACAGACATGCGTTGCCTCAAGAGGGTTCTGGTCGAACCGATCGAACACTTGCCAATTGGACAGACGGTGTATCGAAGTCGCTTGTATTGTTTACCGAGTCGAATCGGCAGATTTAAGTTTTCGCTCGAGTGTCGGAGAACCGCAGCGTCTGAAGATAACTGGTGCTTCTTACACACAATTGAAGCAACGTGGCGATGTTTGTACGCGACGCACGAAGTGTTTCGAATCGCGAGAGCGAGAGAAGAGAGAGGGAGAGAGAGAGGGAGAGAGAGAGAGGGAGAGAGAGAGAGGGAGAGAGAGAGAGGGAGAGAGAGAGAGAGAGGGAGAGAGAGAGAGAGAGAGAGCGAGAGAGAGAGAGAGAGAGAGAATTGTATAAGCTTCCAATTTTAGAATATTTTCTACTTCTAGCGATTAACCCTTCTACACCTATTTAGACATATACATATACATTAGACAACACTCCTCTTACAAAGATATACCCCGCACTCACATTGATATACATATACATAAATAAAAATGGCACAAAGCGCGTGACAAAGAAAAAAGAAGTCTGATCTGACCGGCCGTATAATTTCCTCACAGCTTGACGCAAGCCTTCCCAACGTTGGTTTTGCCTAGAGAACAGATATGAGCGATAAGGATTCGTGTCCCGGTGGTTCCTTTTCCTCGACTCAAGTGTTCTTGAGCTTGCCTTCTGCTGACAGCCTCGTACGAAAGACGCGTGCGTCTCTCTTTTCCCGTGATTACCATCATCGCGAAGCGATGACCGCTGATTGTGAATCGATAAAAAAGTATACTCAGATATACAGAGTGTCTTCGCTTTCAACAACCGGTTGAGCTTCGCCAAGCGAGCGGAGACGGCGTGGAATTTTGTGTTCCCTTCCGATGAAATCGAACTCGCGCTGCGAACGAAAGAGATAATAAATGTCTGGTCGATCCTGCGAGAGTCGAAACCGAGAAACACCCTGTATATTCGTGTACATACAGATACACAGATATATCTACTCACATTTCGGTATCGACTTCTACGAGGAGGAGAAGCTTAACATCGTCGGGATGTCCGGCGTCGGCGAACGATCACGCTTGGCCCGCGTCTTTCCCGCGTCAGATGTATCCTCTGAAGGTACATGCGATTTACCTTTGCTCTTGTTTCTATCCGCTTGAGGTCGGCTTCTTCACTAATTTTGATTTTGGCGATCGCGAAATCGCAAAATCGCGACTACGCACCTCGCCGTCCTAGCGTCGGCAGCGACTCGATAAACTTGCGCGCGAAACTTCACATTCTGTGCATCCTTCGTCTGACACGATACTAACTTCGACGTAACATGCGCCGGAACGGACCGAAACATTCGTTTGTTCTTCCGCTCTTTTCGTTTTATTAGCGTGATACGCGCGGAAGAAAAAGCGAACCCTCCACCGAATCGTCCTCGATCTCTCGCGAAATCGTAAAAATGCACGTCCGATCGCCATAATCGTAAAGCACCCTCCTAGGCGAGAAAAGCCTTACAGCGTGGAAATATGTAAACAAAGGAAACGCCACCGGCAAGAGGCGAGAGTGTCGGCAGGCATCGCGATAGAAACGTGAACGCGAAAAGTGCTCGATCTGCTCGTCGTCGTCGTCATCGCGACGCGACGCAAGGCGTCCCCCAAGAACAAGAGCGAAGTGAGCGAGGTGGTGTCGAGGTATCAAGTTTATTGAAATCCAGATATCATCTCAATGAAAAGTATTAATTTTTCCATTCGCTTACATCGATTCATATAGTTAATTGCGCATCGCTTACTTTAGCATAATCGATCTTTCTCCTCCTCCTTCGCGTTCGGCCGCGGATCGGCCGAGAGAGAAAAGGCTCTTTCGTTTTATACTGGTTTTTTTTCTTTCGTTCCTTCCTGCCCCTTCTTTCTTTCCGCCTCCATTCTTTCTATCTTTATCGCTCGCATTCGAGACAAGAGAAGCGGTACGAACACGCGCGCACGCTTTTGCGCTTTCACGTCGGATTGACATAACGATATCGCAGGTGGCCATCGTCGACACTCACGTTCCTCGAGAGAACGAACTTCGGTCTTCCTTGACGGTACACCGGAAACGTTCTCGACTTCCGAGAGAGAGAGAGAGAGAGAGAGAGAGAGAGAGAGAGAGAGAGAAAAGTAATGATAGAGAGCGACAGAGAAACAGAAACTCCCGCGATCGCGACGCGTCTCGTCCGCGCTGCGGACTTTTGTTTCGTCCACGAGACAGCAGGACGATCCCGATTGACCGGATCACCAAGTTCGACGTCGGCCCCGGATCGTTACGTCTATCGCGCACAGTTGAAAGATTCGTTGCACAGTCGTGACGGGACCGAGGCCCGATATCGCGACTACAGACGCAGCGTGGCAGGGTGTGGCGTAAACACGGAAAAAAATTAACGAAAATAAAAAAACAAAGAGAAGGATGGGAGAGAAGGAGAGAGAGAGAGAGAGAGAGAGAGAGAAGAAGAATGCAAAAGAAAAACGGGCCTCGGTCGCGCGCACGGCTGAAGAAAAGGAAATGCGCGAGACAATCATCAAGGGAGATCAAAGGACGAGAAAAACGCACGGATATACAAAGTAAAAGCAACCATCCGATGTGAGAACGATGATGAGAACGATAAAAGAGGTCGTTAGCCTCGCTCGTTTTGTCTTTCTCTCATTCTCTCTCATTCTCTCTCCCTCTCTCTCTCTCACTCGTTACATAGTCGCGACTACGCGCTAAATTATCGTGTAATCTGTACATGTGTATAAACAATTCATCAGTAATCCGTAAAGAACAAAAACGACATTTGATTTCGTTTGCATTCTCAAACGTACACACGTCCTCCGTCACGGTCGAGAGCGACGTGCTGAGAACTCGAATGTATCGGAGTTTGCCGAACGAAAGTAATCACACGTGTTGATTCGCAAAGACGAAAGATCTCAGAACTGCCGACAGGAAATCAGGATACCTGAATCCTAACTCGACTTGAATCTTTGCTTCCTTATCCACGATTAGTGCATGTAATCAGAGAAAACTTGAAAAACCTAGAAAACAGCTGTGTTACAGCGAAGTTTGACACTCGGCGCCACTACCGAAACGTTCGAGTTTCGAGTCTGCGCCAATCGATCGGTCGATTGAACTATCGAATAAGAGAGAGGGAGAAAGAGAAAGATGCGCTTCGAATACGTGAAAAAGACTGAAACGAAAATTTCAAACTAACAAGTTCCTATAATTCCTACATAAGAAAAAAAAAACAATCTTGTAAAAAACACGTGATGTGATAGCGAAGGGGGCGAGCATCGCGGTTTATGCGCGCGATATATCGTTTCCTCTTCAAATAATTTATATATGTGTATATATATATATATATATATAGTATATAATATACTTTTGCTCTATATTTTCATTTTTGTTTTCCGACGCACGCACAGAACGCACTTTTCCATGCGTGCACGCGCTCACGCACGCACGTTATCTGCACGATGCGAGTAAGCTGAAAGCGCGTAACAAGCCATGACGATGTAGGAAGAACATGTCATACTCGCTGTCTCGGAAGTGCGGCGCTCGAAATGTCCGAAGACACGCGCGTTCGTCCAAAATATGAATTCCATCAGCCGAATCGCGTGATCTCTCCGCGGAGCATCGCGCGGGGAGAGACGCGCGTTTCTCGCGAGAACGCGCGTCTCGCCCATCGCATCCACGGGAAAAAGAATGAAAAAGGAAGGAAAGGAGCGAGACAACGAGTATCGCCCGGGCTCGTAACAAACGCCTGTAATTAATCTACAGCCGTGTGGACTCACGCGGACCGCAACGATCGACGTGAACGACGACGCGCGGTAATTCGCAGCGCAACGAGCGGTCAAACGCAAGCGATGAATTCGCGCGCCTGCACGAAACGAAGTTATCGAAATATCGTCGTCGATCCCGCGATCCTGCGTTGATCCGTCGCGGCTCTCTCTCTCTCTCTCTCTCTCTCTCTCTCTCTCTCTCTCTCTCTCTCTCTTTTTTGTGATGCAGTTTAACTATAATTTGCCGATAAGTGCTAGATATGACGGACGCACACGATCATACGACTACTTGTCCTTTCGGAACGCTACTCTCGAATGAATAGAGCCCTTCGTCGTCGAAGGGCCAGCGGAAGGATCCACGGCTGCGGTTCTCTTGTACTTTGCGCTATCGCCTCTATCACACTATCCGCTCGCACTTCACGCACACTGTCTACCACAGATACGCATCCCCCTTCCCCTCCCCCCCCTCTCTCTCTCTTACTTTCGCGCGCGCTCTTTTGCACTCTCACTCACTATTATTTATTATGCACAATAATTCTGTTAATCCCGCCGCGGTCTTCTCGTCGATTCTCCCTTACGTGCGCAGAACGCCTCCGATCTTTCCGCGCTCTCACGATCATCTCTTTCCCTTTCTTGGAAGACCTGCGCGTCGTTCCCGATTTTAAAAATGTAAACGCACCACCTGTTTCGCGCATCCGTGAAAGTATAACGTCTCTACCCGGATGATCGTATCTATCCCGTCTCGTTTCTCTATCCTGCCTGTGTGAAAGACCCCTCTAAAACGCAAAAGATAACGTACACGATCATGAGAGAAGCCAGGTATCTCGCGAACGCAAAAACGGACCGCCGACCTCCCGTACGGTTGAAGGCACAAAATCCACGCCTGCCTGAAATACACGCAATTTTACGCGGAGAACCGTCAAGTAGAAACCAATACACAAGTATTCCAAAAAAGGCTCCTGCCATCCCTATCTCTCGACAATGATCTCATTGATAAATATCCCTAGCAATTAAATATATATATATGCATGTGTGTATGTATATATATATACTTTATATATATATAATATATATATATATATATAGATTATTATGCCATAAGAAAGATTATTAATTTCCTATTTGCGTATCTCGCACGGAAATACGCACAAGTGTATGATGTATACGTGTGTGTGTGTGTGTGTGTGAGTGTGTGTGTGTATTCGAAAAACGTGTTCGAATGACACCTTCTCGTTTTCCTTCCTCCCTCCGAAATTTCCCCAAAGCTACACACGCGCGCGACTTTTGTACCACCCTCTCCCTCTCGCTTGTTCTCTCTATCTTTCTCATATACCATCTCGTGCAATCGCTCCAATAATAAACATCCGTCTGTGAAAGATATCCCTCATTGCTTCCTTTTCCTCTCTTTCGCCGATGTACCATTGTAAACGATGAAACTCTCGCGCTTCTTGTATCTTTGGGATTATCGGGTTTTTTTTCCTTTTTTTGTTTCTTTTTTTCTATCATACGCACCGTTGATTCGAAAAAAGAAATCTGCTATCGCAGAGATACGAAAGAAACGCTCGCCGGACCGGTGGTGCCCTCCGAAAATACAATTTACGTTATCTCCCTTCGCGCTCTTCCCTGTCTCATTTGACCGTCCGATGTGATTTATCGCTATTGCAAAAGAAAACCGGAAGGACAAGGAAACGTCCCGTATCTCCTTTCTACACCCTACACTATATATATAATATATATACTTTCCACGAATATAAAATTTTTCATCTCACTGCATGATCAATAATAAATAAGAGCTTCCTGAACCATTCGCTGCGAAGCCCCCTTTATAGCGGGTTGCGAACCCGCAGGATCAAATCGCACGATATACTAGAAAAGTTGAGAGTTAATATTCTATTCATCATACACACAGAAACTCGTCAAACGCGAATCTGCCGTGGCGAGCCTGCTATTTTCAATTCTTACTTCGATTAATATAGACGACCTCGCGTTTTTTTTTTCGTTTAACATTATCATCACCACTATCATCATCATCATCATCATCATCATCATCATCATCATCATCATCATCATCATCATCATCATCATCATTATCATCATCATCATCATCACGTAGAAAGCAAGCTTCTAAAAAAGCCGTATTTTATTGAACACTCCTGTAAAACGTCGAGAAATGTCGCGTTTGGCTTACACGATTTAAACTACTACTTTTATCGTTTTCTGTTGTGTTCCGTTTGTTTGCTTTTTTCCCACTCATTTTTCTCCTTGCATTATTTAACTCTTTGAATTCCTCATGAATGCGTAAACGTCCGAGACGCACTCGTAAACGCGATCAACGTGAACCACGGAATAATCTCCGCGCAATTATCACCCGTTGAATTATCCGCCCGTTCCGTGTGACGTGCCGTGTACGCACCGCATAATTCCGTGTGCCGTCCTGAAGTTCTCTCGAATTCATGTGACAAGCCAAAACATATGAAGGCATTATTATTATTCATGCACGCGTAAAACACAAAGCTTAGGAATCTGTTTATCTCCAACGCGCGTGGGGATTCACGCACGAAATATTATTCTGTTAAACCCCTTCCTCCCCTTTCCTATCTCCATTCTAACTAAGTCACTCTCTCTCACTCGCACATACTATCCCGCCCTGACTTTCTCTCTCGCTCTCTCGTTTTCTTCCTCTTCGTCTCTGTTCTCTTTGTCGTTTCCCTAACCGTAACGCGCAATCTCGCTATTAACACGGCACGCGATATCAAGAAGAACACACGCACGGCCATATCGGTTTGGAGAGAGAGAGAGAGAGAGAGAGAAAGAGAGAAAGAGAGAGAAATATTCGAATTATATTTTCTACCATCCGCAACTCTGCACTCATCTCAATCTGAGAATGTGACCGACGAGACAATGTGCGAGTTTCCTTTCTGTTTTTCATTCTTTTTTTTTTGTTTTTTCTCTTTTCTTCCGTCTTCTTTGCTCTTAACAAGACAGAGGTAATCGGCTAACCCGATATTTTTTTTTTCGTTTTATATTACATAGTATATAATATTTTCTATCCTTTCGATCGGCCACGCCTGGAGCATAATATAAATTCGCATCTGAGAGATCGCGATATTTAAAATAAGCTTTCCAAGCGCTGCTGTGGCGATTATCTCTCGTCGAAGACGCAGAACGTAAAACGGGCAGAATTCATTCGCCGTGATATAAGTATTTGTTTAACATTAAATGCTATCATTCTCTCCGCAGCTAGGAGCAAGGTTCTGTAAGTGCAAAGAATTTTTGTGTGTCTCCCTCCTTCCCTTTCTACCTCTTTCTCTCTCTCTCTCTCTCTCTCTCTCTCTCTCTCTCTCTCTCTCTCTCTCTCTCTCTCTGTATTTACGTGATTTGTTATATTGCTGTTTTGTGTGTGTATGTATATGTGGTGTGTATGTGTGGTGTGTGCGGTAAAGCGGCAACCCATAGCTATCTTCTTCTTCATTTAGCACAGTATTTATTTTCGCAATTTTACAACGTGCCGTATCGTCGTACATACTTAAACCTTTTTCTACCGATCACACTGCAGCTGGAGAAAGATAGCCATAGGCGGTTAGAGGGCTACAGGCAAAGTTTAGATATAGCAGCCCCTGGAAAAATTGATATTCACTGCTACAATTCACGTAGCGACACAAGAGTGTGCAAAAGTTTCGATTAAGTTTCGCGCATTTGTGCTTTGATGATTGCCGATAAAAATGTCCGCTAAATGCCAATTTGTGAGAGAAGTGACGATTCGAAAAATCTAAATGTTGCATGTCATCCCTCTTCCCCGTGACGAGACACGAGTACAGAATGGGTGTAAATAAGTCACACAAATGTAAATGACGATTGTCGTAATAAAAGAGAACAAATGTTTGATGATATACTTGATGAAAAAAATGATCGACGAGAGTCATCACGATCGTTCGCGATCAAACGACCGGGATGATTGTCATCTTTACAGCTTACGACAGTGGCGTACGCGCGAACATTACGCACTAATTGCACCTCATCAAATCGATCCATCGTTTTACGAAATAAGTAAAAAAGTGGATGCTGATTAAGTATCAGAAATGTACTAATGTATATTTAGCGCCGTGAATTAAATAATATGCTAAGATCAGCACAGGGCGCGCTTTTTCCTCATTATTATTATATATATGTATATGTATATATATCTCTTTCGCTACTAAGGAAGCGTACACGTGTCGTTACACAATTTTACGTGCAGAACGATACTTTCGTGATAACTCATCATATTTCGTGCTGAATGCGTTGAAATTATCTTTTATCGTACGCACGATATAATCGACAGAGAACGATCCTTGATGTTTCTCAATCGTTCGTAAATTCTTCGAAAGTATTCTTCTGTGCTCGGTTGACGAACGAGGGAAATCATATATATGTCGCATTGTACACGTAAAAGCTACAACAGTTTCTCGTCGACCTTAGAATCTCCTATACGACGTTATGCCGAGGAACGGAAAAGGAAATCTCGAAGTTTGAGGCTGCGGAGTTTGCTGCGTGTGAATCGGAGAATAAGAGGGTTGCTGAAGGAGCGGGGAATTCTGTTGATTTTGCAGCGGCGACAGGGACTGCCCGGAGGAGTGAGAATGTAAGTTTTGTTGATGATGATGCGGATATGATAACGCGTGATGGCAGGGGGAGGACTGTGAGTTTTGCACGTTCGGTGGTGGGACGTTTAGATTATTCGTGACGCTGATGTTACTTGGGATGTTGAGGCTGTTGGGATTATTTGGAATGGTCAGGCTTTTCGGCATACTGAGCGCATTCGGGAGATTCATATTCGTTTGCAAGCTAGGCGGTAGAGAGAGAGTAGCTGACGTAAGATAATGTACGTTGAAAGATGGACGGGGGGGCTAGTAAAGCCTCATACCTTCTTCGAATTTAACGATGAGAGGATCGACGGCCGGGCTCCCGATGAAACTGCCAGCTTCACTGCTGCCTCTACCTTGGTCTGATTCAGTACTACTGCCGTCATATTTTGTGTCATCTGTGCAATAAGAAGAAAATGTAAAAAATGTGGTTTGCACGTTAAGTTTGAGATAGACCATCAATGTCAAGAGAAATAAAATAAAAAAAGAATGGAATGGAATGGAGAAAATGAAATGAGCAGACCTTTACCTTGACGGCTCAACCACTCCTGATTTGGAGACTTTGTTGTTACTTCTGTCTTTACAGGGTTGATAGGATTATTGATGGTTCGTGCATTCTTATGCAAGAATGAACAGTGCGGCTTCCTGCATCCTCCGGGTTGTGTTTCCCAGTAGCATGGAATTGACTTGCGATTTTTCTAAAAATGACAATGACATTAATATTAGTCATTCTTTAGAATAATTCTAATTACTGAGTTGAATTATGTCATCAAATGGAATAATTTTGTTCAAATTTTAATTGCATTATCAAGTTCAATACAATTAAGCATTGTCAATGCATAAATACAATCATGTCATATAAACTATATCATTCATTATTTCATACTTAATTATAAAGACTAATTTTATCATAAAGTCTAAAAAGAAATAGATATCACACAAGGTTATTCAAGAAAAGCATTTACCTTCAGTTCCATGTGTCTGAAATTACAATGTTCGTTGAGGCAACTGCCTTGCTGCCAGAATGTACACATGGTTTCACAACCTAAAGCCGATGGTTCGTGTCTAAAGGGACAAAAATCTCCCTGCAAATGAAAGATCATGCAATAAGATATAAATATTTAATTTAATCCAGATAATTTAATTCCAGATTTTTCAAAATATTCGGTTTCATTTAATTTCATTTAACTAAATGTTCATAATAATAATTTATAAGAATAATGTAAATGCTTGCAGTGCCAAGATATTATAAATACTGCAAGTGAATGCAAATCAGCTTATACATGCGCGTTATTAAATGTTTAAAATATTACAGGTATCATCATTACTCATTTCAATGATAGAGTTCGTTTACGAGCTTAACACTGGCAAAATATCCGTACAAACATTAAGCCCGTTTTTCATAATTGTACAATTAAATATGATACGACATATTCGCGCCACAAAGATAATTATAACAATAGAAGACACACTTGCAACAGTGAGAGATGTCATGCACAATTAGTTAAATGAATAAAAATTCAATCGCGTGTATGCGTTCGACGATAACACGGACTTCTCGACTATTATGGTTTGCAAATTCTCGTCAACATGATTTCAAAATGGCCGACCTAACCTCGGCGGAGCGTACGGATAACACGAGCAATATGGAACTATCGTACTTCATATTTTCAAGATAACCGAAATCAGCAAGCCGCTCGATAAGAACGTGCTAGAAAGTAATTCTATTACAATGCAAGTAATTCGCTTACCTTCTTACACGTGGAGTAATAGAAAAAGTAGCAGTCGGTGTTCTTGTGATTGTGCTCCATTTGTAGGAACTTGTAAAACGACGAGTGATCGTGCTCCTTGCTGCAAAATAAAAGTTCAAACGGATTTTAGCTGGATAATGTGAATCGTGACGATGACGAATCGGCCGAATCGTCGCGAACTAGTCGCACGCGTCAGGCGATTCAACGTGGAACACACACATCACCATTTCGTGCGAAACATGGTTACGACTCGACAACGCAAGATAGACCTCGCTTTTCTCGACGCTCCTCGGCAAACAGGCGCTCGACACAGAACGTTATGGTGAGATCGAGGCCGTGTATGCGTTCAAAACAACGGTTATTCGCGAGCAGCCGTGACGCGCCGACGACATTGACGAAATCGCTACGATTCGTACCTTCGTTTTTTCCACACGTTGCTCGAGGCGTGATGGAAAGTTTACTAACATTCAGCCGCGATCCCACGGTGACTCCTTTCTTACACACGTCTGCTCAGCCGCTAGGTCACACTTCACGACACGCACGCACGCACGCACGCGCAATTTGCCGATTTATAAACGTAAAATCGAACGTAAAACAGATCCGTCCCGATCAGTTGATCGCGACCATCAACGCCGGTACCTCGATTCGTTCGCTGCGCAATGTAAAGTACATTTGTGGCTCCCCCCTTCAATATTCGCGTAACCTGTTTGCGACGCCGGAAATTGCCGACGTCTAAGAGAGCGCTCGAGTCTAACAGGAAGTAAAGGACAGTACAAAGGTTAGAAGTTTGTAGTGGAGCGAAATTTGAAAGTTGAGAATTGTCACTCCAAAGCATAAACATAAAAAAAATTCAAAATTTTTCTTCAATGATTAAGATATTTGTTTGTAAAACTTATTTCTCTCTCTCTCTCTCTCTTTCTTTGTACTTCCAGGGGGGAGGAGAGTACATTGCTAATGTCACTTATAAGATAGCACATAAGCATCTAGAGGAAGGAACCGCTTTGCTCTTTAAATATTACGGAGTCAATTCTATGCGACTTTGCGACTTTGTAATATAACTTTATTGAGAAAGTGATATTCATTCTCTTTACATTGAAAAGATGAAATTACATTTTGGCCATCGCTTCTTCCAATTCCACAAAGAAAAAAGCTAAAGATATCAATCATTGAATCCTTATAATCGTCGCCGAATTGATAATAATAACATTATCATTATAAGTCTGAAAAAACGAATGTATACATATATTGCTAAGTTCTTAATATCATGTAATTTGCTTATCCGTATCACGATATCCGTCGAAATATTCTTTGTAATATTTCACGTTAATATTGCTGAAATAAATCTGTTGATGATTGACAAAATATGCATCCTTATACACATCCCACTAAAAATGATAGTTGTAACAATAGTTGTAAGATTGTGGTTAAATACACCATCGTATTCACAACGTGAATTACTCGCGATACTTAAGTAGCAATCGAAAGCATATCTCACAACAAAAACTATGGAGAAATAGCGAACACGGCAAATTCTTACATTAACTCCCTATACTGTCCATAAATGGACTAGGAAATTGCACAACCCATACTTGGAATTCTTAGCACTTTGATATTGAAATGATGATCTTCAAATATGTACTATACTCTCGCTAATATATAAAATAGGTTCATTTCGTAAATTATGGCTGCATCGTTATTTCAGATAAAGTATCACATGGCCACTGACATACGATATCAATTTACGAAATGGGACCGTCACTCATGCATAAATCGCATGAACGTGCTCTCTCTCTCTCTCTCTCTCTCTCTCTCTCTCTCTCTCTCTCTCTCTCTCTCTCTATCTCTCTCTCTCTCTCTCTCTCCCTCCCTCCCTCCCTTCCCCCCTCTCTTTCTTTTTTTATATATATTTATATATATATATATATGCAACATTTTTTTTGGAATCTTACTAACTAGAGTAACTAGTATAAAGTTACATAATAATTAGATATGGAATTAAACGCGCCTCGAAAAGTTTTGTCTGTTCTGATATAATGTTAAATTTAAAAAAATATATATGTATATATAAATCCGAAACACAGTACATGCAGCTAAAGTAAAGTTAACAATAACACATCAAAATTGAACAACAATTAATAAGAATATAATTTTAATCGGGATGTGATACGACTGTCTAAAACTTAAACGTATGTCTTACAGAAACCTTAAACAATTAGAAAAACTTAAACTATAATATATGTTCCAAGTTGCGATGTTATCCATTATTTTATATAATCATTATTGTTTATCACATTCAACTCCCTAAAGTCTGTATTGCCGATGCGGTAATATATATCATACGCATGCGATAATAAAATAAGTATTTATAAATGTATAAAGGAAGAATTTGAGTTTTAAATCGTTCAGAAACAATTCCATTCAATATATGCCTAAGCGGATAATACAGTTATACATAACTTTTATCTATTGAATATGTATATTTGGTACTAAGCTTTCATGTAAATATACAATTAAAAAAAAAATGGAAGAATCACCAAGCTTTTACTTAAATTTAAAATAAACGTAAGAAATATATATGTATAAAACATATGTGTATGTAAAACACTTATTATTATTATAGAAATATATATACCTCTCAAACTAAATGTAAAGATTGAAAATGATTTTAATATCACTCTAATATGGAATAAAAAAAGTTTTAAACCTAAACATTTCAAAAAAGGAACCACAAGCAAACTTTAGGAAGTTGATTTAAGCCAGACTTTGAAAATAAGAGACACATTAGCATAATTAAACCGCAAAAAAATATCCCTGCAATATAAAACGTCGTCAGACTGTATATAAATATGTTACACACACACATAAGCAAACCCTTCATTGTAAGTGTTCATGATATGTGTATTATAAAAGTTCATCCCCGTATCTGATAAGTAACAAAAACTGTAATATATATTAATCTTTCTTTCTGTTTTCTAGGTTTTGTATATGTTATGCAAGCTTCTGGCCGCGTTGCGTTCACTAGTCAAATATATTAATCGCGTAACTGCATCGTCGCATACAATTGCAACATCATTGCCACATAGACGCAAATTATCTCACACGATGCGTACGTCGCGTGCGCTTGCGACTTTCGCAATAATCAGAAAGTATTTGCCAAGGGAACGCATCGTTCGAAGCTGCATATCTAAATGGAAATGCGTATCTATGAAACATCGTATTTCAGATGTATATTAAGAGCAGAAGATTTCTACATTATGAAACAAATCCTAATTGCATCGTGTATTCATACATACGCACTAAAAAAATACTTTCCATTTGTATAGGATCGACCAGCAATCCATCGTAGAAATTAAATCTATCGAAATCAAACCCTAAGGAAGCTATAGTCTTCGGGACCTGGATTGTAAACTGAAAAATCGTACACTCTCTGATGATCTTATTAAAGGAGCGTTCTTTGCCGATCGTAGTACAATTCTTTTCGTTAAAAATTCATTGTCGATTCGCCACTTCTAACGTTTATACAAATTATCCCGAGGACACTAATGCGACTATTGTATAGACCAACATCTCCAAATTTTATACAGTCTTATTGGAACGTGCGTTCCGCACATCACCATATATTATTATTTGTAATTTTCATCGTTTGATGAATCGTTAAATCAGTCATACAAAATTATGTTATACGATATCGTGCGACACCACCAGGTCAATTCCCATTTAGACAGTCTATGTCTATCCGTAGGCTCAACTAGTATATTACTAAGTTACAATCATATGTTCTAATTCATTGTGCTTCATGATATACTCTTACGAATCGGTACATCTATGAGAATGATGCCAAAATATAGTTGATCGTAAAGTCAATCAATATGTATTGCAATGTCCTGACTATCGCGCACTACTTAATCAGTATACGTACATAGGTATCCTTCTGATATCCTGGCACGAAATTTCGATCGCTAGATTTCCCATGCGTTGCAGAAACATAGGAGAATGTAAAATGTATATACCTTAATTTTCTTCAACATACGGGACACTCAATCTAGCTTGAAACAAATCCTCCTTTCAGTTCGCCTAAAGTTATATAATGCTCTAAGACCATTGCTTCGCTTCCAGAAGGATAAATATGTTACATAAGCACGTATGTATGCATATATGTAGATGTGTAACAAAATGTACGTGCACAATATAATATATACAGTCGTACGCAACTTTCAGCCACGCGATTGCTATTCATAAAACGGCAAACACACACACAGATAATCTGTCACTCATTAGAAATTCACATATCACCGATTATCAATTTAACAGTAGAAAGAAACGCGCGCTAATATTGCAGTTTATTATCGCCTTGTACTCGACCGCAGTAAGAAAGTTAACATTCTCCACTCAAGTTTCACATACGTAAGTTCGCGTATGCGATTCTTATCACTTTGTTTCAAGCAATAAAAGATCTAAACGGCAGTTACTAGCGTAATTACGGCAGACAAGAGTAATGTGTCTGTGAAAAACAACTATAGACCTTCTCACACGATGCTTGCAGAGAAAATTAAAATCGAATAATTTCTTGTTAATAATTGTAATGCTGAAATTTCGTAATATCAGTATTTTTTTTCCTTCCTTTACTAAGATGGATGTTAAGTGAATGAATCTTTTGTTTTACGCAAATTTATCCTAAGTTTATCAAAACAAACGTTTTCTCTCTTTTCATACCGGATATAGAAAAGACAACCGATTAAGATTTATTAGAACTGCAACACTTAGAACAATCGAAACAACTGGTATGCTATCTCTTAATAGACCACGAAGCTCTATTACTACCTGCAGGACCGCTTTCCATTCTTTGATTTCGCAGCTCTGTTATGGTTTCGTGTAAGATCCTTTTTTCTTCCAAAAGATTCGCGATATCATTTTCCGCGGTGTTCAAGCGAGATCTTATTATGTCAGACTCCTCTTTTACGCGCATTAATTTCGCATTTTCTTCCGATAATCTTTCCAAAGCTCCCATACGGCGTCTCAACTCTTCATTATCTAGTCTCAGTTGTCTGCTAGATTGTCTCAGTGCATTCAATTCCACCTCGCACTCTGCATTCTTAAGAGTGTTATTTCTATCGCCCGATAATGCTGTACTTGAATCTCTCTCAGCCACCATAGTTACTAAAAAAAGAATAAGAAATCGTTGTATAAGCCAATTGCAAGTTGCATGAAAAGTTTATACAGAAACATACAAACATAACATGTTCAATTTATTTTAAGATATAATAATTATAAAAATTTATAGTAGAATATGTATACATTTTTTACACTGATATTACATATTGTGCAGAAAACAGGGATTAAAGCCGATATAAGAAAAATATTCTTATTCCTATTAAATGTTCCAATTTCCCACGATTAAAAATTGACTAATTGAGTAATCGATATCCAACACTGATATAATCAAAAATATTTAACAACGCGTTTCCCACGAATAAAGATATGTAATATCTGTGTAGAAACTGTGTACAGAATGTGAAATTATTTCGATAATCAATCCCTGATGGATAAACAAACTAGAGCTAAAACTTTTTATAACGCACACTGTATATAAGTCTATTTTAAGCGCGCACTATAAACATAATGTTGACTAAATGATGAGTATATGAGTGAATAATTTTAAAAATATTAACGTATACGCAATATAATGCAAATAATGTTGTTATATGAAGTTATATGTGCAATGATCTAAAAAGTGTAATTACTTTTAATTTTTTATAATTAAGATACTCGTAAATAAGATAATCATATCAGTAAAATAACCGATTCAATGAAAAATAGAACGGTCAAATATTCATATGGAATCGATACATTTTTCTTCGTCCACTATGTAAAATTATGATTCACATACTCGTTTAAGTGTGCATGTCTCTAATATATTCTATCTATATCGAATATATCTACATATCGAATGATGTCACTTTAAGCGGTGCAATAATCATAAGCAGCAAAATCTAGGGCTACCTGGCTACGTGTGTTATATCAATGCTCACATTCGAAAGGCCGCCTGGGTGCACAGAACAATTATGCAATATGTAATATTAATTACTTTCCAACAGAAATCTGCCACTTGCGCAATGTAAAAAACCTATGTATAATATGACAGATTACAGAAATACATGTATATTTACAGGCGCAAGAACGATGTAACTAAGTTCAAAAAACCGGAAAAAAAAAATCAACAGCTCGGTAATAAACCGCAAGTGGCAGAGAGAAAAAAAAGAAAGAGAGAGAATGATCGCGACTCTCTTGAATAACATTACTTACCGATGGGTTCAATGTGAAATACACCGCTCGTGTCCCGCGCTACCCTGAGCTTGGAAATATTCAAATCTATTGGGATCGGACCTGGGGAAGTTATGTTATTTGGCGGACGATCTTCATTTAAACGTAATGATATATTTTCTAAGCATATCTGAAATAAAATAATAATGTGCTTGTAATAAACTGAAACGGTATATTCTCATATAAAGAGGAGATTGCCATCGATCCAAATTCGACAACTTTGTGAATATCTAATATATATATGTATATACCTGCATAGGAATCGGCTTAGGTATGATCTCGTCCTCCGCTAAATCCGCTAAACCCGTCACCGAGCTCATCGACAGCGTCATTGCTACGTTAGCGACTTTCATCTCTAACTTGTCCTCGAATAAATTCATAACACTCTCTTTGTCATGCACATTGATGACGGACGTACAGGTATCTTGCTCAGGCAATCTAGTGCGATCTTGAGATGCTCGCTTACTACTGTCGCTCGTGTTTTGGCTAGCGCCCGAAAGCTTACAGGAATCCTCCTTATTTTTCAAATCATGATCCAAACGTAGTTTAACGCGTGATCTGCAGTCAGAATCTGATGGCAATTCTACCCAGCCTCGTGATCGCGAACTGAACTTGGTCTATTAAAAAACAAAATACGTGAACGTATTAAACGTAACATTCTTGAGAAACTACTTAATGTATCTAAATATCTATTTTTTATCGATTTTACATCACTGCTTAAAATCGTAAAACTATGTTGCAGAATTAGGCAAAATAATTTATATGCTGGATGATTATGACAAATTTCATGTACGTGAAGTGTGAATTGTAAATAAATTGGATATATAAGTATAAACCTCAATTTCTTTAACTTAACAATATATTTAAAGACGTAATTTAATTCGATAATTACGTGAGAATCGATTCTTAAACTATATTAATATAAGAAACTTTAAGTGCCAACCTATTTTGTGTTAAAAGATTTACCATGTCAAAATTGTAGAAAATATTTAAATGCAAAAGCACACAAGATGCGCCGAAAGCAATTCTACATGGATTCTAATATTTAAAGCTTTGTTATTAACTTCATCTATAAAGCAAGTGAAACGATGCGTATATCTACAATGTCTAACATATACTCAAATTTAGCATATTATAATTTCTTTACCGCAAATACTATAATGCAAGCTTATAATGTTCAAAACAATCCGATATCATGCCATGATATAGATATCTTGTTATCATAACCCAGTTAATGGAAGTTCTAAAGTTAGATTTGTTAACTTTATAATATACAGAAATAAAAAAAAGTTAAACTGCAATTTGCAAACTGTAAGCTATTTCTAATTTTAATAATTATAACGATAATTAAATCTGACTAATCGTATAATGATTTTATCAAAATAATTAAGAGAACAAGAATAGAAAGACATCGAATGCAATCCTCTTGCTTTAAACAAAGCGTAATATCACAAAAGAATAATTATCATATACATATACGAATTACTATTTGCATAAATACATGTTTGTCTGGCTGGCTTCTCTCATATAAAAATTGATGTCTATTAATAAAAATAGAGAACGTGTAATTATAATGAGAGAAAAAGAAAATACATTTTAATTAATCAAAAGTATCAGCATTTTATATTGACTTTAGAAAATGTCCATCAACAGAATGCCTAATAACAATATAATTTTACTTAGTAACAACACATGCACATTTTCGGTAGTGTCTAAGATTAATAAAATGTATGAATATTTTGCCAATACCTTTCTTTTGACCTGCCACAAGTGCCACATAAAAACATTCACAAGAGAAGGAGAGACGCAGGAGAGGCATGCAAAAAAAGTTAAGAGACAAAAATTGTATGAATATACATTTATAATGTCAACTGGTTATAATGTAAAAACCAATGAACAAATTACTGCAAAACTACTCAAGTATTAGTTGCTTATGCACAAGTAACTCGCTATTCCAAATGTATACTCTAAGTATGAAAAGGTTTACTATGATTAATAAATCGCAAAATATTCAATGCTTTCTTTTCCGGAGATTGTGCGCGTGGAAAAATAATTTTATTACAGTTCGAGAGAGAGAGAGAGAGAGAGAGAGAGAGAGAGAGGAGAGAGAGAGAAGAGAGAGAGAGAGAGAGAGAGAGAGAGAGAGAGAGGGAGAGAGAGAGAGAGAGAGGGAGGGAGAGAGAGAGAGAAAGAGAGAGAGAGAGAGAGAGAGAGAGAGAGAGAGAGAGAGAAGAGAGAGAGAGAGAGAGAGAGAGAGGAGAGAGAGAGAGAGAGAGAGAGAGAGAGAGAGAAGAGAGAGAGAGAGAGAGAGAGAGAGAGAGAGAGAGAGAGAGAGAGAGAGAGAGAGAGGAGGGAGGGAGGGAGGGAGGGAGGGAGGGAGGAGGGAGGGAGGGAGGGAGGGAGGGAGGGAGAGAGAGAGAGAGAGAGAGAGAGAAGAGAGAGAAAGAGAGAAGAAAAAGAACTCAAATATTATCATATTAATTCAGATATAAGAGAAAAGAAAGAGAGAAAACAAGAAAAAGAGAAGAAGAGAAAGAAAGAAAAATTTACTCTGGATATATAATTTAGGTTACATCTGAAATATACTTTGAATCCAGATATTGCTAAATTGACTTAATGTCCTGAATAGTATTATAGTATCTCTGGAATAGTATTAAGCTACACTGTGTGAAAGTAATTAAAACATAACGTCATAAGAAAGGAAAAAAGAAAATATAAATTCTCTTATTGCAGCAATACAGTTAATAATAAACTTTGTTCGTCCAAAAAGAGCAAAATTGTAATGTAGTAATATACATATGTATATGTTTATATATATATATATATACACATATATATATACATATATATAAATGATAGATAGCGTAACGTATAAATATACATATATATATTTTTTTGTCATAATTAATACATCAAATTTTTCTGACTCACCTGAAATTCGTCCCAAGGAATGGATGAACATTCATCATTATCTATGTTAGAAACCTGAATCTTAATAGCGGACGAATAGCCACAAGACTGTTGTATAAATTCAACTTTTGACAACTTGAACGTTACCATAGAAACCTGCGAAGCGAAGGCAAAAACACAAAATGTAAGATTCTATTCCAATTATGATAAATTCATTCATCAATGTTACACAGTACTCACCAAATCCTTCCTTTTACATACACTGTCCATAGATTTTTCACTTTGTGTATCTGGCGTTTCTTCTACGACTTCAGTAGCCTCCTCTACAGCGGTTATCCTAATCGTATTATCGATGCCAAATGCGTCTGTCTTGCCTTGATCCTGAAGGTTCACCAGGACATAATTTTCACTATCCGAACTAACGTCACTTCTCATGGACACCGTATCGCTACTACCATCTTCGGGGGAGGCCTTCAGAGCAGAGTCGATCGACGTCATTAGATTGCTGAATCCCTTTTTCATGGACGAGAGACCGACGTTGAAATTATTTGGGATAAAAGGCGTGTTGGAGGCTGAATCAGATTTGCTCTGCTTCTGCGTAGCTATTTCTGCCGATTGTCGGAGAGCGTCTATGTCAACTGGAAATTGAATTTCGCAGGACTCAGGAACAGCCCGGATCACGTTTGCTGGATCGTAGTTGCCTTTTTTCGTTCCGTTTTGTTTGAAAGTAACAACTGGCTGAGTTGGCACGGAATGCGAATAATCCATCGACAGCATCGACGAAGCTTCGCTCTGTGGCGTTTCCACGTCGTTGCTCGTGTTCATCCTCTTAGCATTATAATCAACACGCGTACTTACTTGGCTGGTGTGCCAAGTAAGTACTGATGGACCGATAAAATCGTCCGCTATGCTGGACGAATCAGGAACAACGGATTCTAAATCGCCGCCGGAATTCTCTTTACCGGGTGTGTGCGACGGCATGACGAATGTCACTTCTACTTGCGGTATCAACGCGCCTATGACCAACGACCCGCCACTTTCGATCTTCAAAATCTTATTCGAGTCCACAGCCAGATATGTGGCCATTTCGGATAGTATCTCCGACAACCTGAGCAAGAACAGATACTGATAATGATTTATCTGTACGCTAACTAAATTGCTGATGTACGCAAGACCGTGAATATCGGCGGCCAAAGGCTTCTCCGTAACCGATGAATCTGTGGTGAAGTGACACCACAATGTTAGAGGGAACGCGTCCAAAAATGGTACGGGCCGATTCTGGCCAACAGCCCGTGCTCCGAGAAAATCGCCCCATACAGGTTCCAGGTTACAGCACCACACGTCTTTTGCCTCTGTCCACAAAAGCTCTCGGTTCAGCTGACGAATCAACTCGTTTACAGAATTGCTACTGAAATTGGGCGGTATTTGCCTGATATTGTCAGTGCCTGAAAGAGATATATAAGAGTAATGAGGAAGATCTATTAAATTCACATGTACTGTGCATGAGACGGTTACGAAATAGTAAACTGTGTACCTCCGCAGTGCGCCAAAAATTTTTCTGTTACCACGTGAAAATCTCCCGATTTACTAGGAAACTCAGCGCCGAAGAACATTTGTCCCATCTGAAATGCATTCAGGCACTGCGCCAAATCTGCCCTGGAAGATCTCTCTGTTGATCGAACGTTCGTTATAGATGCTCTAGAAGTTTGAAGATGCAGAGATTTTGGCCTATCTTTTTGGTTTGGGTAATCTTGCTGACTTTCGAAAACTATCTAAAATTATACAGAATCGATGTTACTAAGGTGAAAGTGTAACAATATGCAGAGTAAATTAAGTATTATGCGATAATATATGTTAACTTACTCTTGGTAATATAGCCTCTATCTTTACGTCGAAATACATTAAACGTGCAGAGCTGTGTGACAGCTGCTTGTCCTTTCCCATAAGAGAATAATGAAGATTCAATGCGAAAGAGTTAAACCAAAGGCACGAGCAGAGGTCGAAGTTCACTTGGATAGGATTGAGCTGTACGTAAAATTTAGGTGGTGGCACTGAAAAAAATGATACATAATTTTATTTAATAATAATAATAATAATAGAGTTATTGTGTAAAATAAAAATGCTTGCAAATATATTTTTACTTACATGGAAAAGTAATGTCTCCGGGATAATAGTAATAAGTGAACTCAGCATGGAGTATCGTTACCTCCTCTGGAAGACAGAATCTGTCACGGTCGCCTGAACAAAAATTTTATTCAAATGGATATAGCTAAACTTTTCAAAAGTAAAGAAAAATATCTGATTCCTAAGCAATAGAAGTGATACTCCTATCTATTAATTAATAGGACTTCATACATGCCATAACAATTTTTCTCATATTACAGTACAACTATCTAGAGCATTAAGATAACATTTTTTTCGATATATAATTTAACTTCTACGAAAAAAAATCTAGTTGTAATGCAAGTGATATGTAATAACAATATTGTCCTAGATAAGTCAATAGTTTGGTAAAGTTACGATGCAGGAGAGACAGTCTGCACTGCATTCCGAGACGCTGCAGATCAATTTTAAATTAATTAACATTTTGTATAACACGAAATAGCACAAATAGTGGATAAATCGAAAAATAAAAAACAATTTGTCATATTAACTTACGCTAGGATTTTAAGTGCAACGTTACATTAACACAAGCACAAATTACAGCTACTGATCTATTGTACCTGGTGTATGCTTCTTCCTCGTTTGAGCTGTGCACAATTGTCACAAATAAAATAATTATTCATAAATTTTAAGAGACATAACGTATCTCATTAAACAGCAAGCCTGATAAATACTTAAACGTCTATATTATATGTAAAGTGTGTAATACCTGTGATAAATTCTTTGGGTATCGGATTACGCGACGTCGTTGTCACTTTGTACAAAGTAAAGTCGTCGATCCTGATGATAATACACGTTGTCATAAGCTTAGCAAGTTGCTCCAAAACATAATTCTTTACTGGATTACCACTTGGTTGCGATTTTTTCTGCTCAGACATCGTTACGTTTGTATTCTGCACTTGGTTACTTTTCTCCAGATTTTCCCCAAAACCTTTCGTACCGCTACCTGTGCCAAATAGGATAATATACAAATGTTCATATCGATTTACACGTATAGTTTTATATTAACAATTCGCTAATATATGCAAACCTGTGATGTTTCCTTGACTTCTTGTCAACGGAGAGTGTTGCGTTCTACCGGAATCGATAAGATCCATAAACTGACTTCGGAACGAGCTTAATGATTGCTGTAACCACTGGCTATGAGGTGTGGCGTTTTCTTTATATTTGGCCCAATGTTTCCTATCCGCCATTGCCAAATGATATGGATAATAATCAATTTGAAATTTAACTAATGAAATTTGTAGCGCACCGCCATCCTTAAGATCAGGATGTAAAGATCTACCTCCTATTTAAATAAAATATAAATATTATATATATGATAAAGTATTTTAATATGTAATTTAAGCACATGCAAATATAAATTTCTTCCAAATTTACCGCCAGCATCATCACACAAGTGGAGATCAATACGTTGAGAAAGGAAATGATATGACGTTTCTACAACATCGTATCTCGTAAATATCTTCGATATCGTTGTATTACATTGATTCTTCGTTCTACTTTGTTGAGATATCTGGGCTTGATATTCTGGTAAAACCTTGAATCATTGAAAAAATGAATTAATAAAATTTTGATTTATAATACCGCAAAAACAAAAATCAAGTGAACTTGATACAAACTTCTAATTTCCTTGCGGCTTTTGTTTTCCGTTCGAGAATGGTAGCTTTCTCAATAAGACCACCTAAAGAGTCAATGAAGTGGAGTGCAGCTTTTAATTGCGAGTCTGTTAACACCCACAAAAGATCATCCAGAATAATAACTAGCCTAGAACCCATTACAAAGCAATCTGCAAGAAGCACTTAATTCAGTAATTGTACAAACAATACATTGGTCAACATTTCCCATCCAGTACAAACCTGATATTCTTTTCTTTATAGTGATACGACACCTAGCTTGGTTTGTAAGTAACCGAAGTGGTGTTAGGTTCTTGTCTTTAGTACTTTGGGCCTCTATTCTAAGAGTTTGCCATTCTAACTCTTTAAAAATAAGCAATTGCCCTCGATCGGGATCTTTTACTCTAGTGGTTCTGAGATCACATCGCTGCCATGTAGCTGACTTTGATTCTACCATAATTCGATTCATCTAAATAATGCAATATAAATTAATATGTGGAGAATAAAATCTATTTGGAATTTTTAACTTACTATTTTATAAATTTGTGTATACTTTGTTGTATTATTTTACATATTACATACACATTATGATCAGCATAAATGTCACATACCTGGACTGAGGCAATAAATGCAGGACTTTTAAATGTAACCAACACAATATTAACAGCAACTGTTATTCCATCAATTACTTTATGTATAAAAGAATATTTTGCAGGCCCTGCATATGATGATATACCCTGCGGGGAAGACATACTTCTTAAATCTTCACATGTTTCTACATCTATATGAACCTCATCCAAACTCTGCAAATAAAATATTTTAATTGTATTATTTATGTAAGTGACGAATAAATTTAGTATATAAATAAAAATCTAGTATAACTTCATATATATATATATATATATATAAATTTTGTTTACCAAAAAAATAGGAACACTTTTTAGTTTGGTCCATTGTATACGAAATGAAACTTTATTGCACCAAGCATTAGTTAGTCTTAACCATGATGGCAGCTCTAGTAAATCTGTGAGGACTATTTCATCAAGTTCTAAGTTTGTCAGTTCTCCTTCACCCTTGAATGTGCTTAAATTGATTTTATCAGCTGATAGATTTTTGGTGAACCTACAATGTTTATACATTAAAGACTCAATATGCACATAATCATATATTATTAATTGCCACACAATAAAGCTAGAACAATTGCTAGAATAATAAAGCAAATAAATTTTCTATTAACTTCATATTACTTAGTTAATAATGATAGATTAACACATGATATGAATTTCTACATAAAAAACATTATATTATATGTGTGCGACTAATATAAATTATAAATAGCTTTTGCTGATTTAGCCAAGATGACTTGCAAAGATAACTTTCACCGGTAAGTAAAAGCAAAATAAAACCATCTATCAGTGGAATATGACCACGATTCCTCAATTACAAAAATGGAAGAGAGAGTACTTTCTCTTCCAGCTGCTATTGTAAATGTACCCAATAAATTATTCACACCAAACAGATGGAAAATATGTGATGCTAGTACTTAAAATAAAAAGAGTTTAGAAAATAAGGAGATCTAAAGAAACGCAAAGCGTGACGTGAGCCCACTTATGCAAAAGGGGTGGTGCATTTTTTCCAGAATATCACTAAACCAAGAAAACATACGTCTAAGTTAATTAATCGTGATCAAGCAAACGTACCTCGACAAGTGTTTCAGCAACTGATTTTTGATGATCGAGACCATCTTTTTGATCGCTACGGTGATTCTAATTCTTGCGGCTAATACGTATTAACATGGTTAGTTTGACACCACATATTTACGACGGCCCACAGAGATTTCTACTTATGTGTGTGTCCACGAATGAAATGATCTCTCCCCACCTTCTCAGCGCGGAATTTCTTCCACGAATTGTGCCGCGAAGTTGCTTATATTGTGCAGAGCGATTCACGCATGCGTCTACTTGGGATCGGCTATTGACGGTATACCGGGTGTCGACGTGAGGTTATCTTTGATTCCGTTTCGATTATACGCGGTTGCATCAAAGTTTTAGGTAATAAGTTTGGCTAATATAATTTCTCATCTTATTTGCACTATAAACGAAATGATAATCAAAAAAGTAAAGCAAATTAATCGATCAAATTTGTCTTACGATATGCAACACGTTATTAATGAAAACTGAAATCAGTCTCAAGCTATTCAGACGTGCTCTCGGAGTGCCATTAGGTCTCTTTTCTTTCACGAAGGACTTATGAATTAGTGCAATAAATTGAACTGGAATATAGTATTATTTATTATAAATTTTGAAGAGTCTAATTGCAAAATCCGACTAAATGTACTCTGTACTAAATGATTGGAAATGATGCAAGGAAAGCATCAAAAATTTTTGCTGGGAGAGATATGTCTGTAAAGAAAAAATATGAAAAATTGCAGATACCATGGAAAGTGTAGCCCACCTACACTGGCTTGACTTATCTGCTCTTGCGTCCATGCGTCCATACGGTCCATATATTATTACTCGTGTTCATGTTAAGAAAATGAAAAAAGATTCTTTGGTGTTCGCTAGATGCTTCTTGGACAATACATAATTGATAATACATAATTGTTCTGGAATGGGTTTCTTTTTTTATTAATTTCTTCGTGATACACTATATGGTTTGAAAAACTTCTAAATACATATTTTTCATTTTGTCTTTGAAAAAGATTGTTGTAATATACTAGCAATATATTATGATCTATGTTGCTATTAATATAATCAAGCAAATATTAAGATTTTAGTGGTGTTCTCATAGTGGTATCTCATTTTGTATTTACATACTAATATACTTTGCTAAATTATATTGTGTAATTTGGAATAGTTTCTCTTATTATCAGAAACATATATGAAATTAAGAATAAAATATGTGGCAGAATAGATATTGCTCTTGTTGTAACAGCAATAACTTATGTGTAAATGTACTCTCTATGTCTCTATGTTTACAATGCATGGTAGTTACTATAAATATTTTAATAAAATTTCGACAACAGCACTGTGGTCAGCCTTTGTTGTATGCAGCAGTATAGTCCGATTATCCTATAGTAAATTTTATTAGATTACACATAAATATAAATTTCAATGAAATACTGCAATTTAATTATGTGTAAAGATCTGCAATCTTATTATGCTAATCTTATTATGATAAGTATACAGGCTCACTTTTAACTTATGATATGGATTAGCGCCATGCTTAAGAAGCTCCTCAACTATGGCAGTATGACCAGCAGTACATGCAAATGAAAGAGGAGTGTGATCAAAAACTTCTTCTTGATGATTAATATTGGCTCCCTTTGAAATAAGATATTTAACTGTACTCAAGTGACCACTACGACAAGCTATCATTAGTGGAGTTATACCATGCTTTATATTGTATTCCTGCAATATGAACATGACAAAAAATATATTTAAAAAATACTCTGCTGATATTTAATTGAATGAATAGTATAAAGGACCTATAACAATTTATGTGCAAATCTTATAACACATATTTGATATTTGAGTTGAATTTCTAATTAGAAGAGAAATTAAGAGAATATTCTATTCTAAAGAATAATATGAATAGATTGATTTCATAAAAAACCAAATATCAATTTGTTTTGTTTAAATTTGTTACACTATAAGACCCACTTTTATAAATTCTTTATACCGTTTATTCGATCGCAACGTAAACTAAGTAATTCGAATCAAAAATAAGATTTGTCTGAAGTACTAAGTAAAATGATATAAAACAAATTCTTTGCAGGCTAGTTGTTATTAAAAATTTGTAATCATCAAAAATTTAATGTACCAATTCGGCTCCAAACTGAAGTAAAAGATCAACCACGTCAGTATGACCATTTTCACAGGCACAAGTCAGTGCTGTTTCTCCTGTTCTTGTTTTAGCTTGAACCTCTGCCGCGGTATTCAATAAATGTCTAACAACATCTAGGTGTCCGTTATAAGAAGCATCAATTAAAGGATTAGACAACTGGATATCAGCACTTGCCATAAGTAAACAAGTAACAATATCAAGGAAACCGTAGTTACACGCCAACGATAGTGCCGTTTCCCCTGTTTGTTCAGCTCGTGCATCGACGTCTGCACCTATTTTTAAAAATTTATGAGACACACTTGTTCAATTATCGAATGATTGGGACAATATTGTATACCTTTACTTATAAGTAACTCTATCATTTCCTTATGACCTGCACATGCTGCTAGCATCAATGGTGTATATCCCACTATGTTAATTTCTTCTATGTTCGCCCCTTGATTAACCAGAATTTTTGCAATCTCAACATGACCATTGCGAACTGCTAATGTTAATGGAGATTCATTGTTGTCGAGTGGCATATTTATTCTGGCACCAAAGTTTAACAGCACTTTTACTATTTCTATGTAACCATGCATCGATGCTATCATAAGTGCTGTCCATTTTTCAATATTCTTATGTTCCTGTAATATAAATAAATATAAATATAGGTGTGCATATATATATGTGTATGATGATAAAATTTTACATATATTAAAGTAAAACATTTCTCGCTAATTTATACAGTTTATATGATATATAAAAATATTAAAAAATTACAAATGGTCTTAATTATTATATATAGTTTCTAGAACAAATAATAAAAAAGTAATTGTACCGTATCTGCTCCAGATTTTAATAATATTTCAATTATCGTTTTGTGTCTTTTCAAACATGCATATGTTAATGCAGATTCTTTATTTTTATAATTACAAGCGTTAATACGTGAACCGTATAATAATAAGAGCTGGACAATTTTAATATTTCCAAATTGAACCGCTATCATTAATGGTGTATCACCTTGATAATTTGCAATTTCAACGTTCGCTCTGAGAAACAATAAAGTTTGTACAGTGGTGAGATTTTTACGTTTACACCCGAATATAAGCGGTGTATTCCCTATAATAAAAAAAGAGAAACTTTTATGATGATTTCGTCTTTTGCTGACAGTGTGTTAAGTAAAATCCAAAATATTTGTACACAGAGATAATATATTACATACACAATTATGTCGTAAACATTATAGAAAGTTAATAAATATATGTAAATAACTAAATAAATATGTGTATAACTTTACCTGTAGAATCATCCTGAATATTGATATCAGCACCATTACGAACAAATAAATATATGAGCTTTGTATCTCCTCTATAGGCGGACTTGAGTAAATAGTGGTAGTTGTTCAAGAAGTGGGAATTGAAAGTGTTAGTATCTATATATATTTCATCCATATTGTATTCTTATATCGGTATCCTGTACTAAGTAAAACTATTTTATTGAAAGAAATCGCAATACATAAATTTTATCAACCCATAAAATTTCAATTTAACTTTCTTACTGTATAAATAATGTATAACTTATAGGTACTGTAACATAATTTTACGTAGATCAATTTATTTTGTTCATATCATATACATGCTAAAACTAAGTCACTGTTTATTAATCCACAAGCACAACATCAATTTATGATAGAGTAATATGCATGATACTATGTCTCGAATTCGTTTAATATGCAAAACATTAAAAAATAAGTTATTATATATGTAATATAATAATATAATAAATAAATTATATTATTATAATATATATATATAACATAATAAACTAATATATATATAATTTAAATAATAATATATCATTGATAAAACAATATAATGAATTCAGTAAAATTAATATTCAAACATAAACGTAAATAATTTCAGTGTTAATTTCTGCCACTATGTTCAGTTCTTGTTTATATCTTGGTTCAATTTAATTTCTTTTTTTTCTACGATAAATTATAGTTATTTAAAAAAATAATTATTGATATATTAAGATTAATTACACGCACAAATTCAGTTAACTTGATATTATATATCATATACATTATACAAGGATGTATATTTTAAAGACTATCACGATCGAAAATTGATGAGTGATCTAATATATATTTCTTATCGAGAGAATAATATTTGATACTACTGAGTAATAGGTTTTAGAAGACGAAATGGAAGGTCAAGAATATAATCTGGGAATAACGATATATGTTTGTTTACTAACACCAAGCATTATTACTGTTACTATCGTATAAATAATAGAGAACTGGAACAATCACTATTGTCTCCGACTGCGCGTGATATTTAAAATATATCTCCTTATATATAAGCGATACGGTATATAGTTACGGTGGCAAATGTATTATAATCACGTCTATGGCAATTCAAAAATAAATATAACACGCAGCATATGATTATTGATTACATCTTATATTAGACACACTTTAAATTGAAATTTCATTATAAGCCAAGCTACATTTTTTTTGGTAGTAATTATAAATGCGATACTGCATATTTGCACTTGTATATATATATATATATATATATATATATATATATATAAAATATATTAAATATGCAAATTATTTTATATAATGTGTCACATATACGTGATACTTATTTCTGGTGAAACATTGGTGCGTCATATATGTATGAAATTGGTAGCTAATACATTAAACAAACTTAGACTCTATTTTATGTTACCACTTCTTCATCATCTATAGTTATACTTGAAATTATAATTTAACAAAGTGTCCTTTCAGAATCTTTTATAACATGCATATAACGTTATTATATACATATATATATATATATACTTTAAATTAAAAACAAATTGGTTGCAGTTGATACTATTGTTGGTGATACAATGATTTACACACAGACGCAATATTAGATTTTTACACATGTAATGCATGGCGGTTATTGCAAATATTGTAATAATATTTCGATGACAGGACAGTAGCCAGCCTTTGCTGTGTGCATGAGTATAGTCTGATCATCCTATAATATGTTTATTTATATTAGATGTTTATTTACAATTATATTATAATAATTTATAATATGAAGGGAATATAAATTTCCTGCAGCTTCCATTACGATATTGTAATTGTGCACATAAAGATCTGCAATCAAATGTTATTACTTCAAATATACAGGCTCACTTTTAACTTATGATGTGGATTAGCGCCATGCTTAAGAAGCTCCTCAACTATGGCAGTATGACCAGCAATACATGCAAACGAAAGAGGAGTGTTGTTAAAAACTTCTTCTTGATGATTAATATTGGCTCCCTTTGAAATAAGGCATTTAACTGTACTCAAATGACCACTACGACAAGCTATCATTAGTGGAGTTATACCTTGCTTTATATTGTATTCCTGCAATATAAACGTGACAAAAAATATATTTAAAAAATACTCTGCTGATATTTAATTGAATGAATAGTATAAAGGACCTATAACAATTTATGTGCAAATCTTATAACATATATTTGATATTTGACATTGAGTTTCTAACTAGGAGAGAAATTAAGAGAATAACATTTTATTCTAAAGAATAATATGAATAAATTCCTTGATTTCATAAAAATCAAATATTAATGTGTTTTGTTTGATTTTGTTATATTATAAGATTTACTTTTATAAACTCTATACCGTTCATTCTATTGTAACGTAAACTAAATAACTGATAAGTCAAAAATAAGATTTATCTGAAGTAAAGTGATAAAGACAAATTCTTTGTAGTCTAGTTGTTATTAAGAATTACAAATTTGTAATCATCAAAAATGTAATATACCAATTCGGCTCCAAATTGAAGTAAAAGATCAACCACGTCAGTATGACCATTTTCACAGGCACAAGTCAGTGCTGTTTCTCCTGTTCCTGTTTTAGCTTGAACTTCTGCCGCGGTATTCAATAAATGTCTAACAACATCTAGGTGTCCGTTATAAGAAGCATCAATTAAAGGATTAGACAACTGGATATCAGCCCTTGCCATAAGTAAACAAGTAACAATATCAAGGGAACCGTAGATACACGCCAACGATAGTGCCGTTTCCCCTGTTTGATCAGTTCGAGCATTGACATCTGCACCTATTTTTAAAAATTTATGAGATGTATATTTATTCAATTATCGAATGATTGGAACAATATTGTATACCTTTACTTATAAGTAACTCTATTATTTCCTTATGACCTGCACATGCTGCTTGCATCAATGGTGTGTAACCCATTGCATTAATTTTTTCTATGTTCGCTCCTTGTTCAATCAAAAGTTTTGCGATCTCAACGTGACCATTGCGAACTGCTAATGTTAACGGAGATTCATTGCTATCATGTGGCATGTCTATTTTGGCTCCTAAGTTTACTAATAAACTTGCTATTTTCACATAACCATGCATCGATACTATCATAAGTGCTGTAAAATTTTGAGTTCTATGTTCCTGTAAGAATTAAAATTATTAAAATATTGAATAGAGAGAGAGAATTTTTTTTTCTCTTTTTCCTTGCCTATCTTTACGATATTACATATAATTCCTATTTTCTAAGATTTTATATTATAAAATTTAAATAATTAGGAATGATTTTAATTAGAATATTCTGCCTTATATCAAAATTGTAGAAAAAGATCATTCATACCATATTTGCACCAAATTCTAATAATAATTGAATTAATTCTTCATGTCCGTTCAAACATGCAAATGTTAACGCAGATACCTCGTACGTATCAGTAAAATTATTGACCTGTGCACCATGTTCAAGTAAAATCTTGACAATTGTAATATGTCCATGATAAACTGCTATCATTAAAGGTGTATAACCCGTCTTGGTTACATATTCAATATCTGCATTTAATTGTAGTAAAGCGCAAACAACATTAACATGTCCATGTGTACAACCGTACGCAAGGGGTGTATATCCTATAATTATATATAAATAATTAATTATAACAGTTTTATTTTTATCAGTTTAATATTACATAACTTTCAAAACATTTGCATGTAAAAACAACATATCAAACATACAATTAAGTCGAAGACATAAAGTTAATAATTATATATCTATAATTGATATATAACTTTACCTGATTTATCCCAAATATTAATATTAGCTCCAAGAGCGATTAATCTGCGTACGCGTTCTTCATTTCCCTCATCAGCAGCGGCGTGTAAAAAGTTGTAATCGTCCAATATATAAGAGTTGATAATACTAGGTTTCCAAAATGTTATAAGTGATATCCAAATCTATATAAACAGATTTTATATAGTATCTGCTGTGGACTCTGTCAGCAGTTTATTAGCAGAAATACAACATGATTTGGTGGCAGAATATTATGACGTTCACATATATTCTTAATCAAGATTAACATAAATATTTCAGTATATATCTCTTACTGTCGGGATCACTCCATTTTGCGCCATTTATGTGCTGTACTATAATCGTTGAAAATAAATTACTATTATATTACATTACTATATATTACAATCACTGCTTACATCATTTACTTTATATAACAATATTGTACATAGCAGAAAATATATTTTAAAGGTTGTAAAATGTTCACACAGACTGATAATCGAGATAATATATTTGTTGTTGAGAGGATAATAATATTTGACATTAGTAAACAGTCAAACCGGCAATGTTAGATCAATATAAAAATGTGAAAATAACATTGCTCTTATTGAATGTTATTATTCCTTGGATAGTAAAATATTGGAACTACATATATTTTATTAGCCTATGTCTGCAATGCACTTTATATTGCAGCTTTATTTTTCATATAAATTATACGACACCGATACATAACTAATTTGCTCGTGTTGCGAAATATAGTCCATATTGGATATTTCGACAATATGTTTTTTCTCGAAAACATGATCTGTCACTTATGTAACTCGATCTTATGGGTCAATCAGTAATATCTCGGATATATATAAACACAAATATAAAAATACTAATTTTTATATTTCAGATTTTATTTAGGAGATTGTCAAAAGTACGTTTACATTATATACGTAGCATAAATGGAAAAAAATTATTACATTAAATAATATATTTGTTGTACATTGTTTTTCAAAATATAGAATAAGTATAAATTATTCTGATAAATAAAACAAAAATAAACATAAAATAATTCTGATTTTAATCCCAAAGAATATATAACGGTTATTTGGAAAATATTATTTTTATCTTTGCTATAAAAATTGCTCAATATCTATTTCCATCGAGGAACACGGAATATTTAGTTCAAACTTTGAAAGCACATCAGGATGTAAAACACCCAGTTTTCCTATTATTTCGCCATAGCAGACAATTTCTGCACATCGTTGAGGAAAATATGCTGGATCTATAAAATCAACAATATATCTTTATTGTTTAAATTTCATCTTTTTGTGTTTATTTGAAACATTTCAGTTTCAAGGAAACAACATATCTTACCGTTAGCTGCACGCAAATAATATCCATTTTCATCTTTATTAGTGCTCCATGGTACTTCTAATACTGTCATCATTCTGTCGATTAATCCGTGAATAATTTCAAAACCAGCTGATTTGTTAGCATACACTGCGCATAAACGACGATTATTACGTGCACCGACATCCATTGTATCATCTCGCAATACCACATCGGAAACCTCAAATATTTTATGAGGCAGAGGCATTTTCTTATTTGAACATATCGTTTTGAGTAATCCCGGTAAAAGGGTAGTGCGCGCAACCTATGAGATTAAGATATACACTTATTAAAATATTTATGTCTACTTGAAAGCCGTTGAATGTATTGGTCGTTAAATATATGTTGGCTTGGAACAACATTAATCGAGAATGATTGTATTAATTGCTTTACCTGGAATTCCAACGTTTTTGGATTGGATATATGTACTGCTGGTATATCTTCTATCTTATGACCCAATTTATCAGCTAAATCTTCACGCGAACACTGTACAATATTATTGATACATATAAGACCAAAGATATATAAAAATCCATTCACAATTGATCGATTTTTTAATACGTACCAAAGAGAAAGTCAGCGCCTCTGTGAATCCAGCCTGTGCTAACTCTATACGCATTTGGTCAGTAAGTTTATTGAGCGGCAACTATTAAATAAATGCATAAGACGTGTATCAATGTGCTGAACTATTCATATCATACAAAGAATTATATTCGAGGTAAAACTCTGTACATCTCATATTTACCTCTGCAGCAATTGTCGACATGTGCGGTACAGTTTTCTCGATCTCATTATATCCATAAGCGATGGCGATGTCTTCGTAAATATCACAATGATGTATCACATCATGTCTCGTAGGTGGTATCTCCACGTCCAATTTACAATGATCTTTTACAGTAGATTTTAGAGACATCTTTGATAATAATGTTGCAATTTGTTCTGGCGTCTCGCTACGTAGATCGTATCAAAAACATATTGTACTTATTTTTCTTGTACAAAATATCAAAACAGTTATCTTCTCATTTTTAGCAATTACGAGTAACATGTATTGAAAAAAGGTATAGCTTACTTAATACCAATATAATTTCTTGCTTTTTTACAATCGATTTCTTCTGTGCGGTATTTCAAGTCTGGATAATAGAAAGTTTGTTTATTGGGATACACTACTTCCACAATTTCAGCTGTATATTTTGTACTGCAATACTGACTAAAAGCACAGACTACAGTGTCCAGCACTATTTTTGCCTATGGAATTTTATAATGTATAAAATTAAAAAATTTACTATCTTTTTAAATTATGATATATATTTAAATACCAGTAATTAAAAACACAATATTATATAAAATAATAATATATTATATAGCTAAATACTTTTGTGAGATCAGTGGCAGTGCATTCAATAAAGATGTTCTTTGTATTAAGTGTGATCTTTGAATGATTCCCATTGATAATAGGAGGAAGAGATAAAACAATTCCATTATTGTCATATATCACTGGATAAACAGGACTATCTTTTATAATAGGTAAATAATGTTTGAGTTGGGCATGTGTCTGAAAAAAATATAAAATTGTATAAAATTACTCAATATCAATTACACAGAAATATATAATACTTATATTAAATAAAATATATGAAGGACTTTATGTACATAACCAGTTTCTATAAAATAAGTTGCATTTAGTAAAATTAAAATAGAATACACTTACTGCATACAATTCCATGATTTCTTCTCCAGTATATTCTTTTTCTTGATTCAGTGGTTTGAAATATATTTCTGATGGTGGTTTAGCATCATATAAAAATGGGCCTTTAATCGTATCTAAATCATGAGTACCAATAGAGACTAAACTACGCTTTCTTCCTATATTTTGATGAAGCTTATCTTGGAGATCAATGAAGTTATTATAAGAATCTTGTGTTAGAGTAATATCACGTAATATTGCAGCAACAATATGACCCCTTACTTTTAAGCACTAGAACACAATAAAATAATTTACTTAATATTCTAAAAGATATATTTCAAGGTTCAAATTTTTTCTTTTATATATATATATATACACACAGTGTTCATTTGAAAACTTTCCAGCTAATTATCTCGAAAACTATGAAGATATTAAAAAAAGCTAAAACACATGTTCTATGATTTCAAAGGGGAAAAAGAATGGCATTATCAGTTTTTTATTTGGAGGGCATTTTTAAGGTCAGTTGAAGGTCAACTTAATTTTTTAAAATAGAAAACTCCATTTTTTATTATATCTTTTTTTTCTACTAATTAATTTTAACAACTTTTGTCTGAAACATTTTTTTATTTGACTAATATTTTTTGAAATATTTAAGGAAAACTTGATAACTTTTTCAACATTTAACTTACAATATCTCGCTAACTATTTGTTGAAAGAAAAAATAGTATTAGACCTTTTTACTTTATTTACTATCAAGAATATATTACTATAATAGTTCCCTTTTGTTAATTTAATAATTTTGAAATTTCCAAAGGTCGATAAGTTAACAAAAGTTAGGGCACTATCATAGTAATATATTCTTGATAGTAAATAAAGTAAAAAAGTCTAATACTATTTTTTCTTTCGTCAAATAGTTACTGAGATATCGTAAGTTAAATGTTGAAAAAGTTACCAAGTTTTCCTTAAATATTTCAAAAAATATTAGACAAATAAGAAAATGTTTCAGACAAAAGCTGTTAAAATTAGTTGGTAGAAAAAAAGGATATAATAAAAATTGGGCTTTCTATTTTAAAAAATCAAGTTGATCTTCAACTGACCTTGAAAATGCCCTCCAAATAAAAAACTGATAATGCCATTCTCTTTCCCCTTCGAAATCATGAAACATGTGTTTTAGCTTTTTTTTAATATCATTCATAGTTTTCAAGATAATTAGCTGGAAAGTTTTCGAATAAACACCTTGCGTATATATATATATATAACTTCTTATAAAATATTTCTTTTATAAATACATACCTCAGAACTCATTACTATCTTTTCCAATTCTGTCTTTGGTTTTATTGCCTTGTAACAAGGTATGGATATCCTATTTAGAAAAAGAAAAAGTTCTATATATTAGATGTCCATAAAATATTTAAGTTGTCTTTATATAAAGTATTAGAGAATACATATGTATTTACTTGTTTAAAAATATAAGTAATCCAATACTTAAACTTTCCAAACATAAAAGATCATATCTGTTAGCAGGTATATCAATTTTGTAAATAACCTCTTCTGATGCATCTATATCTTTCTCATAACCTTGTTCTCTTGCTATCATTTGTTTTTCTGTTGTCTATTTGTACAAATTTAATTATTAACATAAAAATAATACAAATATAATACTAACTTACTACAAAGTTATAATTTGATACTTACTACTTCATCTAATTCTAAACCAAATTGAAAACACAATTCTTGGAATTCTTCATCCGCTGGAAAGATAATCATACATATTTCAATGAAATGTCTTAAAATATAGTTAGTTTTAAGCAATTTCAATAAATTATAGGGATAATACTTACAATATGTCTTCCCTAATGCTTTGAACAATAAATCACGTTTTACTCCAATTGTCGGCATTTTTTAAATTATATTGTGATTTAAAAAATTCTCTTAGTACCTTAAAATCTTAATTAAAATATCGAGTCTACCAACTTTTAGTTGTCTGTCTGTAATCAATGAGAGCAACCGAATTAATGTTTAGGTTAAATATTGAACTTGAATGTTTGTATAACTATACATTAATTATTCCTTTAAAATTGACTACTGAATTTTTGAAAATTACCTTAACCTTACTTATACTAAATAAAACAATTCAAAATAATTTAACTGGTAATAGAAAAATTTATGTGCGTTGTATCAACTTACTACTTGTCCTGATTGACAGAAGTACAATTTTCAATTTATTATGTGTAATCTGATGTAATTTTAAGTCTACGGCCAGTTGCATACAGGATGCGGCTAACCGTTATAACCGGCTTTAGTGAGGTCCAGTTATACCCTAGAAATATTAAATTCTAATTGGTGCATTTCTAATATGTTACCAGATCTTACTAGTCCTTACTAGATCCAGCATAAAAACAAGTACTATATGCCACTAGCTTTACTTATTACAATAATGTGCAATAGTTCAAGTTAAAAAAAAAAACATCCATTGTTCGATAAACGTTCTTTTTATATATGTGCATCGAACGCTAGAAATACTAAAATGTACATATGCAGCATTTGAAATGTTTTATGGTCAAATTCTGGTAAATTACTGGATGTTATATACATAATTAATTTACATTATAGAAATGATAAAAGTTAACAGATATAATTATCACAAATTCGGAAATATATATAAATTCTTGTATACTTTTATTCATTGCATTTTTCATTAACGTTTGTAGTAGCTTATGCAATATACAAAAACTGATGTATGTATACATGTGTATTTATATATATATATATGTGCTTTAAATTTTGTACATAAAAAAATACTCTTATGTAAATGAAATGATAAAACCTAACATCTTATTATTTTATTAGAATTAAATTAATAAATATATAATGTTGTAACATATATATCTATATTAAAATGTTAACAGAAATTGTCACTTTGTTCAAACATATTTGCTTAGCATATGCTTCATAAAAGCATATATTTACCTTGGAAAATATTCTTAAACATTATTCTTATATTCTTATATATTATACCTTTTTTTAAATATGATATATATACGCATTCTAGAAAAGTATCTAGATTGCATATATAATCTATAAAGATTAATCTATACGTAAGTAAGAAGTCCTTTTCCTGTTACTTTTAGTATTATAAAATTTGTTATACCAAGTTCATTAAGTTACAACTTGTACTTCCAGTATAATCTTATTGTGAACAGCCACAATATAGTTGTACCGAGGAAATGGAAAATCCTCATTGTAATACAATAGTTGATTATTTTAATTACTCAGTAAGCTAATCATACTGAAACATAAATCGTAAAATTAAAGACTTTTTAAGTTAAGATTTTGACATGATTTTGAAGTGAAGATTTTGATATAAGAGACTCACCCATATAAATAGTAGAAAAATGAAAGGAGATAAAATGCTAACTTAACCCATCCTTCTCTTTGGTACATGGACAAATCGTAAGCGTTCATTATGCTTGTAGGGTCATACAAGCCAGGTTCTGTCATTACAGGCCTATTGATGTAACGCCATACATGATAAGTTATCAACGGAACATTGATTAACAATGTAAAATATTGTTCACTGACCAAAAATAGAATATTGATCACAATGTGCAATATATACTCCGGTAGAACTAGCTAAAAAAGAGAAAGGCAAAATGTAATAACTAAACAGCATGAGATACAAATTATGGACAATAATTTACATCCAAATGTAGTGTATACTTACCGGATTTAGATTGTTACACTGATCAATTGGATTTTTATATCCAGTCTTCAATTCATCAAACGTAATAACCTGAAATTTTTAATATGTCAATCGCAAATATGTAATAGAAATAACGATGTGTTTGTATATCACTTGGTAACTTGAGGTTATACAAGAAACACGACGTCGGTTGAAACCATTACTATCGTTAATTAGTACGTGTAAAATTAACGCATCATGCAATACATACATGAAAAATTGCGAAAAATATCAGGAATACATCGCTGATTAACGCTACGATGTATGAAAAAGCGGCTAAATTGAACGCCATTCTGCATGTAGACAAAAGTTACCAATCGGTCAAACACGAATCCGGTGTCAGATGAATCACGTGATAAATTTCGCTATCTTATTTGTGATTGGTGTCTACTGACGTCGAGTTTTTATTGGGATTGGTTAGTTATTCAAATACATCGCGCAAAACATTCAAGTTATGAACAAAATTTTACATCGCTTTTTTCAGCTATTTATTTACTTATCTTTATCTTTTTCTCTAAAGTGCAAGTATATATACCAGTTAGACTATTAAAATCTATTGATTTTCTAATAGTTTGCATAATTTAAAAAGTATACTATATATTATTACTGTATATTTTTTTTCACTTTCTTTTTAAACAGGGATTATTTTTTACAGATATATCCTACTCATTTGGTACATATTTATTCTAAGTTATACATCTTAAATATGTTATTGCTTTCAAAAAGAATATGTACATTGAATGTATATATAAATCAGTCATGGAAAGTAGGAGAAATATATTATACTGTAACAATCTTAATTTTAAAATTTTAAAATTTAAAAATTTTATTTTTAAATATAGCACACACTTGGTTAGATGTACAATATTTCTGAAAATAATTTTAGATGGTTCTAGTGAAATTTGAGTTGCTATAACTGTGATTGAGCAAGTGTTGAGACTCCACTTTATTTGCTCTTCTTTCTTCCTCTCTGGAGTCCCATCTTGAATTATAATTTAACAGTATTTCCCTTTTTGGTCTCAACATATGTCTGATATTACTGTAGTGTATGTCTACATCTTTGAAGGCATTCAACAAGAATATTGCAATTATAACTATAAGAAATCCGCAAGAAGCACCGAGTATATCCTCAGCACTCATTTTCTGCCACTCTCGAAACAAAATCGCAGAAGCTATTATCACAAGAGTCGTGAAGAAAACGTAATAGATCGGAGTCACGATCGATGTGTCAAATAAATCTAGTGATTTGTTTAGATAATTCATTTGCACCATAATACAAAGAATAACACTAAACATGAAAATCCATGTCAACCAATTGGCAAATGCATTTTCTTTACCAGAAATATTCTCCTTCAATGCTAAACCTAGTCCTTTACAGCTCATTACAGTCAGTGAGCCGACGGACGAGCACAGGCAAATATATATTAAAATATTTTGTTTGCCATATGCAGGTCCAAAATGAAATACAATTGACAAAGTACATATTATCACAATAAGAACATACGACACATATGCAGGTTCCTTTATTTTGATAAACAATTCGCTTAAGCTGCTCACTTCTTCCTCTTTGGGAGAATGTAATACTATTATGGTAGAACCTAAGATACATAATAAACAACCCATCTAAAAGATAAATTATTATATTAGTACTATAAATTACAATAGCAACTTATATTATGAAGTCTTTTACCTTCCCCAGTAGATTCAATCTCTCATTAAGATATTTGGATGCTAATACTGCTGACACCAGAACACTCAGTGCACCCAATGGTGTTACAAGTGATGCTGGTGCAAATGCATATGCAATGAAGTTTGCTGCCTCTCCTATACCCACTATATTTATTTTAAATAGCATTTTTGTAAAAATTATATAAAATTATTATGAAGCAAAAAATGATATATTGAAAGAAATTAGCTTTCCACGATTTATACATACTAGACAACAGACCAGCCCACCACATCCAATCTTTTAAATAACCAAAACCACCGGATGAAGCACGTACACCATATCTCTGAAGTTGAATCAAAGCTTTTTTTTTTATGATAAAACTGGCACCTAAATTGGAATAATGAGTGAATTATTGAATATCGTATATTCACTACTATTTTGCTTTAATTTATCTGCTTCTTCTATCAAAGCAATATAATTAATTATAATAGAGAAATTAATTACTTATAATTCTCAACATACATTAATTTACTACTAACCTATAAAACCACTAGAACTAATTGCTAATCCTAGACCAATATAAAAATTGGTCTTGTCATAATGCATATCACTGTTTGTTATTTCTGTTGTTGAACTCATGCTGCACTGTCAAATTCACCTAATTATACATGTTAGTTTAATTAGTGAAAAAATACTTGACTGATAATTTAAAATTATTAACGTGTTAACCATAGTTCAGTGACTCATTCTTGATTTGATATTAAAGTCATTCTGATCAATTATAGCCGATTATTTTTGTAATAATCGATTGTGATTCGCCAATTCTTAAGGCCCATCTACAGTGGCTATAAGAATAAGGTTGTAAGCGTAAGCAGTAAGAAATGGACCAACCATAATCGATTATTCTTATAATAATCGATTGTGGTTGGTCTATTTCTTACTTCTTACGCTTAGAACCTTATTCTTGCAGCCATTGTAGATGGGCCTTTACGGCTAACAACTTACGGCACGTATTGTAGAATGACCTTTAAGCCTGGTCTACAATACGTGTCGTAAGTTGTAAGTCATAAAAATTGGCGAATGACAGTCGATTATTACAAAAATAATCGGCTATAATTGGTCAGTTCTTACGGTTCACAGTTTACAACACATATTGTAGACCAGGCCTTAGTCTTGAAAAATTTTGTCACGGGACATTGTTAGATGTCGCCAGTTGAACCATTATCTGCACTTCTCCGCGCTGCCTCACAACTTGAATTGTACTTCCTAAGTCTCCGTTGTGAGTCGCCACAGTTGCAACGGCAATTTGAGGTTCGAGAGCAGGGCTTCATGGTAGGTCAGAAAAACCTTTCTCAATCAATTTCGCTTTCAAATAGCATGCCTCTCAACAATATGTTGGAAAACCTACTGATATTTATATGACGCAATCAAACAGTAAATAAAAAAACATTCTATCGCTCAAATAACGGCGCGGCCGTTTTACAATGTATGATGACGGCTCAAAGTTCAAATTGCCATTTCGTGTATATATATTCGGCTCGTCAAAGAAGTCATACGCGCAAATTATTACCGAAAATGCCGAAGGCAAGTTCGTGCGTTCGCGTTTGCCATAGCATGCTATCGTTAAACAGTTGTCGAAAAAGCGAACACTTCGTGGAACGGTCGTCGGGAATATTGAGCGGGACGATCGCTTTGTAGTTCGCCTCGTAATGGCGGCTCGGAATTCAAATTGGTTGCCGTGTACGCTTTCGACTTTAACGATTCGTTTTATGTGCGTGTGATCGCCGATGATGAGTTCGAAAGTGTCGAACTTCTCGGGAGTGCCGTAAATTTCGCGCGTCCGTCCTGACGAAATATCGTTATAGGTTTGTGAATAATGAACATTTTGTGCAATGGACCTCATAAGTGCGTCGTGAGTTATGTATCTACAACACACGACGGCAGACTCGGACTTTACGAGGCAGCGTCGTCGCGGGTCTTCGTCGGTTGTCGAGGTAAGTGACTACAAAGTCTACATACCGTGTGAGAATTCCAAATATATTTCGGAAGTCGGATTTGTGTGTGCTTTCAAAGGTATATGGTTCATATACACGTGAAATACTTCTATATGAACCCTCGTCGCAGAATCAGAAAAGTATCCAAAAGAACAATTATAATACATATACACATGTAACAACGTTACATATCATCTATGTATACCATAATCCTGCGAAAGAAAACGGAAATATGAGAGAGAGAGAGAGAGAGAGAGAGAGAGAGAGAGAGAGAGAGAGAGAGAGAGAAACACCACTTTTTTGTCGTAATTAATACAACATTATTCGTGTCCATGTTATAATTCTATTTACACCTGGCAGATGGAAATGGCATTTTAACGGCATTTTCGGGTTGGTCCAAGGGCGTGCATTCTTTATTCATTATGATAACAATGACACCGTCAGTCCTTTCACAAGATGAGCCGACGAGCTCACTTCTTGTGTATTGTTATACCTTCTTGAACTCGTTGTCGATTGTATTCTCAATCGTCAAGAATCAACGATAACTCATCACTATGAAGACTCGTGTTTTTGTAAGAGCTACCGTGCATAAACTAATAGAATTTACACGACCGTAGACCGCTGTCAAATCTACTAGTGAGCCACGCTAACGACAGTAATAGTAGCAATAATAATAATAACAATAATAAAATAGATAGCAATAGTACTAATAATAATAATTATAACGATAGTAATAAAAGTAGTAATAACAATAGCAATAGACTATTAGGTGGACAGTGTGTCTCTGTATGCTGCGTGCATGTGTGTGTGCTTATGTATATGGATAGTAATAATAATAATGATTATATATAAATGAGATGATAATATATGTGATAGTTCTACTAACGAGCAATACTAACGAACAATAGCAATCGATAGAGCACAATACTCGATAGTTATTAGAAGAAAATAAGATAGATCGCGGTGGCAAGATACACATCGATATCGATGTGTAATATATTAATAACGTTAAGGGTTAACGTCGACTGAGGGTGATATCGAGGTACAAATGGGTCCAAAGTATTTCAACCAAAAACATCATCGTGTTAATATTACTAGGTCCTCGTGTTCCGCGAGATAAAACCTGTTACAATGTTACCGATCGTGATTAATTTCCAGAAAGCCGTGTTCTTTTTTTTTATTTTAGTTCATCTCGTTCCTCACGACACTCGAGGGATGAAATTCCGGAGACTCGTGCTGCAAAACGTGCAAGAAGGTCAAGGTCCATTTTTTTCAGCTGAACCAGTGTTGCACTGAAACTCTATTTCTTTCTTCTTCAACACTGGATTATATACATGCTTCATAAAAACCAAAAGCGCAACATAATCCAGCTAAGAAGAACGGACTCACACAGTTTCCGCTTTTCAGCCTTCGAGTATCGGGGCGAGATTTAATATTTGTGCACATTCTCTCCCTCTTTTTTTGCGATAGCGCATATCCTAGCGTTTGACAGCGGTCCGGGGTCGTTTTGTAGATAGGTAGGCAGGCAGGTAGGCAGGCAGGCAGGTGGGCAGGCAGATCGCTCGCTTGCGCTATTTTTTCTTCCAGTAGTAATAGTAGAGTAATAGTCATTGTCATGTCATTCTTATCGCAACAGCAGAGAACGCGTTGTACAAGTCGTTCGTTCCAGACGAACTGATCCGCTAATCGGGAATCGGAGAGTATCAATTAAGTATCGAGCAACGCACACGCGCGAGAATTCACGAGTCCTGTCTTTTTATTTTCTCTCGTCACTTCTGCCCGTGTCTGACACGCGTTCACGCTTGCTTGGGATGCGCGACGGCCGCGGCCGGTTCCGTACGGAAGCACGACAGAAGGAAACCGGTGTACATGAGGAAAAGGATAGTTATGGCAATCAGCATGTACATGTAGATGTTCAGCTCCGGCTGGCGGTATCGGTTCTTGCGCAGCCACTCGAGAACGTCCTGTTCCTTGTGCATGTCGCCTGGGGATGAACGTTAAAACGAGTATTAGGACTAGGACGATGTTTCTCGGACACTATATAGAGAGAAATATCATTCCACTACTGAGGAAAGCGATTAACCTGTTTACTTTCCTTCTTTCAAGTAGTGATTATCTTCAGCAAAGATTTTCTTCAACCTAATTCAAGAGCTTATCTAGTGCTTAGTGAGCTTTCAGATTTAATTAGTTCGTATTTTTAAATCTAGATAGAATCTAAAAATATGCACACCAATTAAATTTAAGATATTATTATTAAAATATAGTCATTACGAATTTTAACAAAGCTCATTTTATCATTATGTAGTCTAAACAAAAATTTATTCTCTTTTCAAAATTATTATAAACTTTATATATCACAGGAAAACAAATTTAATATTAAATTCAAATTATTATTATATATTTTAATTTAAAAATTTTGACTGAAGTATCAAACTCATTGGGATTCAGGATATATTTTGAGTGAGTTTGATGCTTGATGTGAACTTGTGATAAATTGATGAAATCTTGAATGGTACTTGAAACAAGTAACATTTACTTGAATGTAGTATATATTTTTCTGTGCGCACAGAGTCTCTCTTACCTCTGTAGATGCTCGGGAATCGTTTACGAAAGTAGACAATAGCGGGTAATTTAGTGACTCCCCACTTTCTGGCGTATCTGGGGTCTGCCATTTTGACGAATGTGATGTCCAAATTATCGGTCTCGCTGTCAATCTCTTCCAATTTCTCGTTCACTTTGTCGCTCTCCGGGTTGTCATGATCGTCTGAAAAAAAGGAAAAAACGATAGGCGAGACGTAGTGGCTGTTGCAACTTCAATGTCGCGTATGCGTAGCAACGCGAGTGGGCAAACGTTCACTTACAGAAGAAAACCGCGAGGAATTCGTTCTCGTCCAACAGCTTGTCTAGCATCTTCTTGTTCACTTCCTCGATCTCGTTTTTGATCTCGAACACATCCTGCGAGGTGAGCCACTGCAGAATCTTGTCCTCCTGTGTGAGATCACTGTCGTATACGAGCGGCGTTTTCTTCCGGAAGTACACGAGGGACGGCACGTTGAGGATACCGTACTTTTCGGCTGCCTCCGAGCTGGAGATCTTAACGAAATCGATACCGAAAAGATCAGCTTCGCCGTCGATTTTCTCTAATGCTTCCATGATCTCGTCACATTCCGGGCAGTCTTCGTCATCTAGGTATAATGAAAAGTAGTATATCAGGGAGATCGGGATAAGTTGACCCAAGGATTAATATGTTTCATTCATGTTTTATTGGGTGCACACAGTACTAGCAGTATTCATTAAGTACTCAGTGAGCTTTTAAGCTTGTTTGTACTTTTAGACCTTGGTCAAATTTGAAAGTATAACCAAATTCGAAAGCACATTCTGAGTGCTCGATGAGCTTCCGAATTTCACTGGTTGGTACTTTTAGATCTAAATAAAATCTAAGAGTATGCATCGACTGGATTTGAAAGTTCAGTGTACAGTTGCAGTACCGAATACATATGTTGTGAAAGCAATAGTGAAAAAAAGATCACAAAATATACCTTTTAGAATGTAGTTATTTATTTTATATTCTAAAAAGAATATTTTATTTAATCATTCTTGCTCTCACGGTAAACACACGAATGAAATGTTGATTAATGCGATCCTTGAGTCAATTTGATCCAGCCTCTTCTACATATCCATTGTAATATATAATATAGAGGCCTCTCTTTCCCCTCTAACTACCAAGACTTCATCAATCGTCATTAGTTACGTACAGAAGAAAACCGCTAGAAAAGGAGATTCGTCGAGGAGTCTTTCCAACATCCTGTCATTGACAGATTCTATTTCATCGGCGAGCTCGCGATTCTCATCGTCGATCAGCCACTCAAGGACAGATTCTTCATTCTGGAGATCCCCTATGTGTGTAGAATTCAGGATTTTTCGTTATTCTTCGAAAATTAAAGAAAGTTATAGTATAAGAAATGATCGAACCTTCAAAGAGAAGAGGATTGCCATTGCGGAAATAAACGAGCGCCGGGAACGTCTTGATCGAGTACCGTTTCGCTAGCTGAGGGTCTTGAATCTTCACCATGTGAATCCCGAACACGTCGCACTCATCATCGATTTTCTCCAGGCCTTCCAAGATCTCGTCGCATATGTGGCAATTTTGTTTATCTGCGACGTAGACATCGACGTTACACTTGCATTAAGTTAAAAAAAATCGATTCAATTTTTTGACCGACAATATAGATCGAAAATTATTGAATGATCCTGTTATTATAGGGAACAAACAATTAGCTTACTGAAGTAAACAGCTAAGTATTGAGTTTCCTCAACGGATGTTTCCAACATCACTCTTGTGATCAGTTCGATCCGATCTTCCGTTCTTTGAGTAATCAGCCACTGTAATACCTCCTCTTCTATAGACAGGTCACCTATGAACAAATGATTGAGTCAAGTAGAACATGGCCAAGGGATCTATTTCTACATTTTCTCAATAGTGTCTAATTGCAGACCTTCAAACACATTTGGCACTTGATTCTCAAAGTAGACTAACACTGGAAAATCGGTCACTCCGTAATCCTCAGCTACCTTGAAGTCCTGCAAAAGCAGACAACAAAGTTGTCCTTGTAACACTGAATAAGTGAAAATGAAATAAACAAAAGATGAATCATGGTTGGATATATTCGGAAGTACAAATCAGACAGTAAAAGGGTTCAAGTTAAAATAAAAATTACATATAATATGTAATTAATATAATTATCTGTATACGCATGATATTTGCTCGGAGAGATATCGTTACGCTTACTTGTGTCTTCACGAACGTGATGCCGTGGCGGTCACAATCATCGTCGATGTTCTCCAATTCCTCGAGTATCGTCACGCATTGCGCGCAATCGTCGGGATCTGAAGAGACAGACACTTTGTTATTGTATGGATCCGTCGAATACGCGGCTATGTCGCGCGATCTACTTCAACAACGGTAGAGGCGATTTTATAGTGATTTCTCTAAATGATATAAGGTTGCACACATGTCGATGTCACTGATGCGATCGGTCTATTCGGCACGAGGGAGGAATCTGCTAAATACAAGGCAAGTATACGGGGCTGGTACGTGATACGATGTGTGCAGCGTGAGTGGTACAGCTACAGAGGATCGAAAACAATTGAGAGCTACGATTTACGCGCGCGCGCGCATACGCGTGACATTTGGGATCACGCCAGCGAGATTGATCAGAGCGTTCCTCTCAGTCTCGCCGACGGGACAAGCGAGAGAATGTTGCATGCTTTTGGTCGGGGTCTGTAGGTCACTACTGCTTGGCTGCGTGTTCGTTTTTTCTCATGTCGCATGCTTTACTCTCGTGCACGTGCACCTGTGTATAATTGTATGATTGTACATAGAGAATATATACATCGAAAGAGAAAGAAGGAAGAGAAAAAGAGTTTCGAGAGAGGAGCAGAGAGGATGAGAGAGAGAGAGAGAGACAGAGAGTGAGGGGGAGGGGGAGGGGGGGGGAGAGAGAGAGAGAGAGAGAGAGAGAGAGAGAGAGAGAGAGAGAGAGAGAGAGAGAGATGTTTCTTGGAGGAAGCGTTCGTACGTATGAATGTTTGACCCGGGAAGCGGCGGTTTTACGTCCAATTCCCTATTAGCTATAAAACAAGAGTAACAGCGAAGAAACACCGACGATTAAAGGCGCGAATCGCTTCACAGTGATTCTCATCAGACATGTCTTTTGTGTGCTCCAAATATTCTAGACATTAAGGGGTTATCCGTAAGTTACTCATCAAGTTTTCACAGACTTAACAAGACTTTTATTCTTGTTATTTTCTGCTTGTGATTTGTATGGTACATAAACAATATCTTTTTAGTATGCTATTTGTTTCATGTATCCAACTTGTTATGTCGTCACCGATTAAAAAATAAAACATGAGAATTGAATTAAAATTAAAAATTAAGAAAAATTAAATTAAATGAAATTAAATTTCGTTTTCAATTTTAAAGCAGAAATAAATTATCTGCTTCTATTTCAAAATGCTCGATTGCTCACGGATATCCCTGATAATGTATAGCTGAACAAGCGAAAAAAGAGGAGGAGGGAAAGGAGAAAAGAGCTAGTGTCGATGGGAGACAATACGCCGTTGATCGCCGGTGCCCCTTTACTCACGGTTCTTCCTATGGAAAAGCGCATGCACCATAATACGAGAACGGCACGCGTTATCGCGCGAGACTCCTCCAAATCCCGGAGAGGCTCGCGCGCTAGTGTGTGCTTTGTACATATGCTGGGGATACATCTCGGCTGTAATCGAGACAACTAACATCTGGAACATAGACTTGATACCATAGATAGAAAGAGGAGAGATGGAGACAGATAGATAGATAGATAGATAGATAGATAGATAGATAGATAGATACATAAATAGACAGGTAGATAGTTAGACAGCGAGGAAGCTCAGGGCGATCTAAAAATGTTGATCTTGCTTTGATCTGCTGTACCATCGATGTCCTCGGCCGCGTGTTCCACGTGTTCTGCATTTCTGTGCTCCTGTTTGTGGCGCATCTGCTTGCGGTACACTTTTGATTGGCACATGTCGCAAAGCGTTCTGTTCCCTACGGCATTAGTACACAACGTGTACAGCGTTGGAGCGAGAAAATCGTCGGCGATAATCGACGGTGGGTTGGTGGGTGGTTGGGCGGCAAATTGAGAGTATACAAAGAGACCTTCGACACGACGAGAGCGGGGCATCATACGTTCGGGGGGCGGAGGGGGTGGGCGGGGGGGGGGAGACTAGTTAATGCGATTTTTTCACTATGATTTTAATTACAACGTTTAAGATCGGGTGTTGGGGCGAAGCGCTCAGCGAGCGAGCGTCACGGGCTTGATTTTGATTCTCTCGTCGGTATTCCGCGAGACTGCCTTCTTGAGGACTTCCTGGCGAGATGCAAATTTATTTAATTATGCAACTTCCGGGGAGAGGCATTCAGATATTCCATTGTCGAGCTTGTATGTATTAATTAAGAACGCGAGGAGAATGAAGTGAATTAATTAAAAAGAAAAAAAGGGTGAAGCCAGTGGCCGTTGCTCGGACAAGCATCGACCGTGGCTGCTCGTAGTGAGGGCGTTCGCTTTAAAACTTACAGAAGTACACGGCTAAGGATTCCGATTCTCGTATCAGGTTCAGCAGATCTTCGCCCTCCAGAGCCTCGATCACCTCGCCCGAGGGATCCTTTTGCGTCATCAACCACTGCAAGATCTGCTCCTCGTCGTACAAGTCACCTGCCGGAGATACACATTTTCTCCTCTCAGTGCCTGTTTCTCAGTCAATGTTTGGACATTACACGATTGGGAAATTCTGGTTGACGGAAATAATCAAAATTGACATCGAGTAAGTCGATTACTTTGATTTTTGAGGCGGCAGAGACCGTTCGGTTTAGATCGCGTACCTGCGTATATAACCGGCTCTTTCGATCCCATTTTGAAGAAAAGTATCGCCGGTAACGCGAAAACGCCGTAGTGCTTGGCCAATTGCTTGTCGTCGATCTTCACGAATTTGATGCCGGCGCCGTCGGCCTCGTCGTCGATGTGCTCGATTTCCGCCAACACCCGGCCGCATTGTTTGCAGTCGTTGCTGTCTGAACAGACATGCGACATATCATGAAATGAAGATTGCCGATCTCGCCGCGCGATTGCGTTGCACTCACAGAAAAACACTGCCAGGTAATCCGTCGTTTGTCGGACTTTCTGGAACATTTTCTTGTTGATACGCTCTATGTGATCGGTCAACTCCATGTTCTCGGGGTTGGTCAGCCAGTCGAGAATCTCCTCTTCGTCGTCGATGTCACCGTCGTAATTGATACTCTTACCCTTGCGGAAGTAGGTAATGCCGGGTGGGTTCCGGAAGCCGTACTTCTTTGCCATCAGTCGATCCTTCATCCTGACGATCTTTATCCCGTACTCCGCCGCTTCGTCATCGATCAGCTCGATATGTCTAAGCACTCTAGGACTTTCCGGATCTTCCTCTTTGTCTGAATATTTTGTTTCGTCGAAATAAACATTGTAATAATAAAAGATAGTCGCGTTAGTACGCCGTACGAAATTGGATGTGATTATTCCCTGTTTTAGCTGTGATGCGAGTCGCGATTTGAAGCGATTTATAGCGATTTATAACATTCAAGATTTCTAACAAAGAGGAAAAGAACTATCGTCTCATCGCGCTTGAACTATTGAAAAATATCGAAAAATATCTTATCGTATTTTAATGCGGAGTTGATGAAAAAATTGCAGAAATTGCCTTACAGAATACGACAGCGAGAAATTCTTTCGTCTCGATGTACTTGGCGAGAATCTCACGATCGATCTCCTCGATGCTTTCGTCAGTCTTCTGCTTCACCATCCATTCGAGTACTTCATTCTCGTCGAGAAGATTACCTGAACGTCGTACATTGATCCAGTTGACGATCGTTTGTCGATTATTCTCTCAATATTTCGTTAGTTGTACTTGCATTGGTGCCGAAACAGAGAAGCTTTCGTTAAGATGTCTTTGAAACCCTAACTTTTGAGATAATCGGGAACTACATAATGAAAAGTAGAGTTTTCAAAGTTACAAGCTTCTGTATTTCGAAAGATATTTAAACCTATCATTAATTTATTTCACTAGAAAGCGGTCGATGCAGCGATAACTTTACAAGACTGATGTTGCTCTGGAATGGCTATTCGTTTCTGTAAGGATCTTTATAGGATTGTTTTATTCTAACAACATTCTAACATCTGTGAAGACTTTTACGTGATGTGAATGACTTACCTTCTTATGGCCAAATGTTCGTAACAACAGCAAAAAACGCGAAGGTCTGAATCAAGAAATAGCGAGTTATAGTAATAGATTTTAATGCACTCTCCACACACAGATGTCAATTCAGATCAGAGAGGACAAGAGTATTTTATGTTGAAATACTTTATGCTATAATTTTATATTATAATAAAAAGAAGGTACTCTTTCTCTCTCTCTCTCTCTCTCTCTCTCTTTCTCTTTGCATTAAGTAAAACACCCGATAGCCGGCACTCTGGCAGTTTTCGACACTCTCGCGCGGATTTTACTAAATATTAAGTTGTACGGAGATTTATTAATTATTTCTTAGCCCTTTATTAATTATCATTTACTACTCATTTACTTTTAACCCACATACATTTCAATATTTGATAAAATCCTTGCGAGAGTGTCGAAAATTAGCAATGAGTATCGGCTGGCTGTACGTTTAACCTTAAAATTTACAATACATAGATATTATCGCGTATTTACAAACGTAGATGTTATCGTGATATATCCTTCACTTTTCCGCGCGATTTTGTGCATACAGTTGCGTCTGCAACGATTCTGCAATCTTCCGATTCTTTTGGATACTCTTCTGGACAAATCTCACGGGGGGAAACTTTAGCGTAAGAGAGATTACCGTTGATCATCGTGCGTTGCATATAAGCGTATGTACGGCACAGTAATGTGGCCTGTATCGTTATTAGCGATGGTGGGCGAAGCAAATACAAAGGGTATTAGGAAATGTATTTATTGTTATCGTATAATATTGACTTTTATTATCGTACATGTTGCTCTCTTATGCAAATAACACAAGGACTTATTGGCTCGCGCGCAAGCGTTCACGAGCGATAATTCGTGACGTCTGATAGTCGTGATCACAGATACAGCGTGACAATGAAATTTTGCGTTGATCGTGAAAGCTTTCGACCGTTGGTGGGTGTGACACGGCGACATTTCTGTGAGATCGACGTTTCAATTTCTCTAGAGTGTCTGTCTAGTAGGGACATAATATTCGGGAGATTCTTTACGCCTCTGTACGTCGGGATACAATCCTCGTTTTACTACGCGTATCTCGCCTGCAAACTTGACGGCATGGCGACCGTTGCATGTTTGTATTTTTTTCTTTTTTCTTTTTTTGCGTTAGATTAACGGACGCTGATTGAATGGCAGAATATGGCGAATACAGAAGTCAGGGCGTACATATAACAATGTACAAATAAATAAATAAGTAAATAAATAAATATGTAAATATGTAAATTCATTAATTAACAAATAACAAATTAACAACAAATAAATAAGTGGGCGCGACGTCGCGCCTTCATCGTTTTTCTCGCGCGGTCCAGTCGCGGACTCTATCGCGAAAAGGACAAATAAATATATGTTTATGTTTCATGTCGACTCATGCAGCCTGAAATAAGCTGTAAGCGATTATTAGTAGAACAGAGTAGTTGCAATGATAAATTCACGTAAACCTCAAAAAACGTAACATGAAGGAAGTGTAGGATATGCTTATGTCGGAGCTACGAGAGTAGTTCCTCTGGAATACAAGCCGATATGTACACATGTGGGTATGCTCGTGACCTCTTTTTTTAATCCCGTACAAATGTTTTCACCCCTAAAAATTCCTACGGACCCCAAAATATCAAAGGTGAGATCGCGATATCGGCAGCACTCCCTGTTTCGTCTCGATTGCACTCTGATAGAAAGCTGAAGACTTCTCTGTTGAGAAGTAACTCCGGCCGTTCTTCAATCGATATCATCGGATTCGTGGTGATTGATAAAATTCGAGCTTTTAGAACGCGGGGAGACCGATACGAGCGCGCTGTAAGAGCTCCGCGTGATAATTAACATATAGGAAATCTCGTCGTACGACGAGTCATTGGCAAAGACATTCGTTCGTAGCTTCGCGCTAACTCTGGGCCTCGGCTCGTTCACTCTTGAGATCTCTTTGTGTCTTATAAATATAACATTAGAGAGAAGAGGACCAGCTCTCGGGAGGAACAACAGACTCTATCGGGACGAGAAAGAGAAGCGTGTACAAAGAAAGAGACAGAGGAGAGGAGAGGAGAGAGGGAGAGAGAGAGAGAGAGAGAGAGAGAGAGAGAGAGAGAGAGGGGGGGGGGAGCAAGATCGATGAAAACGAGGCACCAGAGCGAGAAGGTTTTAGTTACAAACAATTAATATCACGTCAAATTAATCGCTAGAGCGTGTACCATCGCGTAATTCAGGTAGAACACTATAAAATAGACTCGGCAACAGCGACAGCTGTTATAGCTTCCTTCTCTCTATACTATAAAGTCCTACCTATCCACTGTGCGAATGTTACCGATGAAATGCAACAATATCGGCGGCATCGCTCGTGACGTTAACGGGTTAACGTGTCAAACAAAAAGAAAACCGAGATCTCATCTCAAAGAGTACTCAGCGTTAAACGATGATCGAGAGTGGTTAAGGATCGAGATTCTATACAAGAAATGCATACACTGCGAGAATAATTCCGTCTGCGTCGCGTGACCATAGTATTAGTATAGACACCGGACCGACACCTGTCGAGAGAACGTCGCTCTTCTCGAGTATACTCTATAACGTCGTATAATACACCATGGCCAATGTGAATTTTTCCGAAAAGTAACTCTCCCTAACGATCGTAGGATGCTTCCGACAAAATTCGTTCTGGTCTCGTCTCATATTACAGAAACATTAAACATCGCTCGCAGATACTCGTTTATTTCTCTTTCTTTGTTTTTTTCTTTTCTGCGCGTGAACACATCGAGAGGAAAGATGACGATGTCGTTTGACTGTATAGCGATGGGGATGTCGTTTATCATGGTTCTGATGACGATGACGCTAACGATGATGACACGATAGTGACGAGAACGTCAGTGAGTTCGAGAGCGACCACGATGACGGCGAGATGTTGGCGACGTTGTCGATAATCGTATGCGACGACGATGACGGGGAGGTTCGAGACATTTCCCGTTTCCTTCCCAGGCGGGAAAGAAACGCGGAGAGTCGTCGCTCAGCGTTGAAACGTTCGGCTTATTCTTCCGTCCGAGCCACGCTCGTCGTGCCTTCCTCCATTGTCGCGCGGATTTTCTCGTCGCGCGGTCTCTGTCTCCGTTCAGTCAGCGGTGGTACCATCGTCCTCCTGCGAGCGTTCTTTCCTCGTTCCCTAAATCGTGGCTCTCTCAGCTCGACCTCGCGCGCCCAGACGCCGGTGTGCGCCGGCCGTTTAGACCTTCATGAGGTAAGGAATTCCAGCCACAACTG